CCTGAAATGACCTCTCCATGTTAAACCAGTCCAGTTGAGGGTTTTGTAATTGTTGCCGCTTTAGTGCACCTGTCGTTAAGTCCATGAACGCCAATACAGCTGAAAGTGATTAACAATGCCCTCAGCTGCTTAATCAACCAGGAAATTATCAGACAGGTTTAACTGACTTCATGCCAGGCCCAATAAAAAAAAGTGTTCCTTTAATTCTTGTGAGCGGTGTTGATCGATGATAGACCCTAACCCGCCAGAAACAGAAAAACCAAAAGCTTCATAATTCTGATACGGAATTATAAAGGTTGCCCCCAATTGCCACTCCACTTTTGATGTTTTTATGGGTTTAGTCAGATGAAGATGAATTAGTCAAACAAAACCAGAATGATCTACACAAACACACAGTACAGGAGAGCCAACTCTCCAGGGAAAGACTCTGCAGCCTAAGGAGAAGGGAGTTCTCAGATTTAAACTTTCCAGGACTAACAATACACAATTTGACCGTTTCATACAAATATGAAAACATCTCCAAAAACCAAAACAAAGACCAGCTGGCTTTGTTTAAGCCGACTAGGCAAAATACTACCAAAGCAGACAGAACTAAGCAGTTTATTGTAATAAAAAGGAGTCATTTCTTTGTGTTGCATCGTTTCCATGTTTATTTATTATATGACAATGCGTTTAGGTGCACACAAACATCAGACGCCAACTCCAACACTCAGACACTGAACCGCTGCCCGATTAAGGGTTTGTAAATGGGTGCAACTTTATAATACAGGGTTCACAGCAATCATGTTTATATACAATGCAAAAAATTGACTGGTGCAAAAACGGGAGGATGTGGAAGCACAAGAATGTCAGCAAATATTTCACAGCTGAAGAAGGACTGGAGAAAAAGTGGATATGTGAAGACTGCTGCAGTGTTATTGAGCAAGGAGAGACTGATACAAGAGTGAACGTGTGACTGCAGAGCAACCAGGAGTGTTGCTCTGTTTGTAACTAGACTAGTGAGCCAGAATCCTCCCACGCAGAGGCAGATAATCCCGGGCCAGTCCCGGAACATCCATGGTGATTACAATCAGTACGGAACCAGAACTAGACCAGTTAACACAAACATTAAGCTGAGTAGGTATCTGTATATATCGTCATACATTCAGTGTGAACATTTGAGTGCACCAACGACACATTGGTTGGCTCAAGTGTGATGCATAATAAACACCCAACGAAAGAAGAAGACTTGTCTGGACATGCACGTTCTTTTTGTAACTGTTTTGTGTGTTAAAATAAACGAGATGACACACACAGAGTTTGAGATGGTGTGATACAGAGAGGAGCAGCAGGGGGTCCCACCACCACCATGATGATGCTTTAGCTGCTCAAACACAAACATTACAGAAGGTCTGATCCAGCCTGAGTTACACGACAAAAACCGGTGTCTGATTTATTACGGCTGTGCGCACACAAACACCTCTAAACGCCTCTCACAACACACAGAATACTTACTTAGCATAGCATGGATTACATCTTCAGCAAACAAAACTAAATGTTTTGTGCTGAATCCCAGCAGAAAAGCCCACGTCAGAACAGAGCAAGTCAATAGCTATCCTCTCACTGAGCGGGGCGGGCCCTGCAGGCTGGCTGACCTGAGGCGTGCTAACGGATCCACCGGACACGCTGAATCTGATCGTTTCAGAGCAGATTTCAGATTCACAGAGATGAGTGTAAGGATCTGTCCTGTCACCAAGGATCTGCTGGGGAGACTGAGGTCCTGTCCACACGTAGCCGGGGATCTGCCAAAACGTAGATATTTTTCTACGTTTTGGCCTGTCATCCACACGAAAACGGAGTTTTTTCACACGAAAACGGATCTTTTTAAAAACTCCGGCCAAAGTGAAGATCTGCGTTTTCTCCGTTTTGGGTGTCTGCGTGTGGACGGACAAAACCGGAGTTTTAAGGTCCGCAACGTCACTTTCCGCGACAAAAAATGCTGACATCACGTGTGCGACCTGTGTTTACACTAGCCGACAGCATGGACGCCCTCAGAGCTGCGCTCGCTTTATCAATTGTCCAAGCGCTTTCTGCTTGTTTGTTTTTGCAAGAGGAATTACTGCTCCTTGTGGAAGACCACAGACGAAGGACGAGGTTAAGAACGGGGGAAGTACTGCCGCCTACAGGTCTGGCATGTCCTTAACAACGTATTTATCCGGGTACGTGTGGACAGAGTTTCTTTTTAAAACGAGGTGGTGTGGATGCAAGTTTTTGGAGGGGCGGATATTCGTTTTTAAAAAAACCCGGCTACGTGTGGACTAGGCCTAAAGCAACACCAGGATTAGGTTTAACACCTTTTAACTGGACTGAGTGAGATGTGACAATGAGACACGTGTGCTTGCTGACGATCCCGAGGTACACTAAAGCTCTGCATTATGGTAATTGTTATTTTAGAAATTAAAAACTTCTACTTTCTGTGTCAAACATCCTGTTTTGACGATGGTGAGCAGAAACGTGATGATATAGTATTTTAGCAGCACGAAGGACGTAGTCCCTAATAATTGGTGCAGAGGCAAACTACAGAATGCACCATGTTTGGAAAGAGAGGCACTACACTTAACACACATAGCATTCAGAAGAAGACAGTTCATATCAGGTGCTGTAAGGAAATTATTTCTGATTTAACAAGGACGGACAAATCACCTTATTTCATAATCTTTATCTGCTAATCGCCTTCTGTGGGTGGATGTTAGCTGAATTGAAGGTACAAATGCCCACATTTTGAAGGGCTGTTCAAGTTTTTCTCTGCACAAAGGAACTGGCTGAAGTTGACGTTGATAAACTGCTTTAGACGCGTTACCAGCATGGGGATGAGGTGGCATTCAAACATTTAAGGAACCCATTAAAAAGTGCTGTGTGCAGAAATTGCACTCGACCACTACTTTAGAAATATAATTGCCTTTGTAAATAAATACATGCAGAAATAAATAATATAACTGTTAAAAAATCTAAATATATCACATTTTAAAAGGAATAAAACTCTGGTAGAGAATGAGACGATCCTGGGAGAAAGAATGTGATGTCTGATTGCTTGTCATGTAAATGCAGATGCCCTCAGTGCTCCTACATGTAGCTAAAATGATTTGGGTTTACCAAATGGGATGTTGTGATGACAGCTCGCTTGCTAGGCTAGTGCTAAAGGCACCGTCTGCAAACCTCGTACCGGTTTTAGTTCTGGACCACAAACATTTTTTTCTGGCCCAGGGTCATCCACGCAGCTGTCCGATCACGCTGGACGGAGGACATATCTTCACGACTGATATTAGCCTGTCAGGATCATGCTGCATCAGCAGCTAAATGAAATATGGCACGAGCCTTACATCTGGGGTGTCACAATGAAAAGCAGGTGCACACAAGCCTGTTAATGTTTTAAAAACGTGGGGCAGCAGTAGCTCAGGTGGTAGAGCGGGTTGCCTCATGATCGGAGGGTCATGGGTTCGATTCCAGCTCCCATCAGGGGTAGCCTGCTGTTGTGTCCTTGGGCAAGACACTTCACCCAACTTGCCTGTGTTAGTGGTGGTCAGAGGGGCCGACGGCGCCAAATGGCAGCCTCGCCTCTGTCAGACCTCCCCAGGACGGCTGTGGCTACAAGTAGCTTACCATCACTAGCAGTGTGTGAATGCGAGAGTGTGGGGGTCTTAAAAAGCGCTTTATGAGTTCAATGCATTATTATTATTATTTTAGAAATAAGTTTTCAGTGTTTTTGTTTAATATTCAGAGAGAAATATGTGTCTCAAGCTGTAATATTTAGATGCCAGAAGGTTTACTGATTTAGAACTTTTGTAAGATATTTTTCATTTCTTATGAAAACATCTTACCACAAGCCATCAAACCAACGCTAGCTCTAGCCAATTAATAACCAACAATGTGAAAGAATGACCTAGTTCATAACTGACAGTTCTGTGAAACAGATCAGCTCAAACAGGAAGTAGTCCATCAGGCTCTTTCCTGCACTTTTGCTGGAGTCGTGATAATATGACATCATTGTCACGTGATTGGATAGTTGCAATGTTGGTCATAGACATGAATACGTAGACGCCCCATTGGGCGCTTGAGAGCGTAACGGCATCGCCGCCATATTGAATGGGTCTGTCACTCTCCAAGCCCAACTGGAGAATGCCGGGTGAGCAACTATACCTGTTTTTAGTGCAGCTTACGGTTGCAACAACCGGCGTACTACTGAAAACACATCACTGGGATTCCTATTGGCTTTTTAAGCCTGCCTGTTGGGATATTTATTTATGTATTTATTTTATTTAATAATATTTTAATCATCATGCTATTCCATATGTCTGATTTTGTGAATAAGATGAATAAAATGTGTTTTTTAGTTGAATGAGCGCCTTCCTCAGAAGAAATAAATGCACTGGCGGCAAACAGAGACCCATTCAAGATGGCGGTTGGCCACTATGGCAGCTCCAAAAGGAAGCGCCAGTCCACGTTGCGTCTATGTTTGAGATGTCTGTGGTTTTGGTCCCATACTAAAATGATGTTGATCCATCACTGAAACCCGACTGTGCATGCTAACGTTTCTACGAACACAACGCAGATTTTTTGTTGGGATCTGTAGACCCAAGAGGTGTCATCTTGCGTGTTTTTATTCTTTTATCTGGTATTATCCGGCGGTATGATAACACAACCAGTTTAAACACTATCTACTTACCAGCAGTGGAGAGCAGAGAAGTTTCCATGTTCCTGACACGATGGTTGCAGGATTTATAAGGCTTGATGTGTTACGGACAACAACTACACTACATCATCACACAAATGTCATCTGAGACGAACTGTTGCTACTCCCACTGTTCCCATCAGTTGTCCAGCAGTAAATGAACTCCAGTACAGTACAGCAACAGGTTTTTGAGTAGTTTTTCCTGACTGACAGACAGCTGCTAAGGCCTGATGTAAACCGGACAGTGAGGAGACAGCGGTGAGGCAACGATGAGCTGAGAATAGAGTAAAAATGGCCGTTTGTGACAGTGATGGTAGAAACCAGGCTCAGCACAAGGAGAGCAATATGAACAAGAATCTATGTACACTTCAGTCTTTGCATTGATCCGTCTTTCACATCCTCATCTGTCCAGCTCGTCTTCTTGACAGTTTAGACCTGAGAGACAGATGAGACCGTTCATATTAAATATCTGTTGAGCTGAATCGTTCTTTAGTCGGTGAATGACCCACCTGATCGTTCCAGCAAGGAGAGGGTTGAACGCGTACAACCAGTCATGCATGTCCTTGTCATTAGTAGCTTGAAGCAGTATTCCACGATGTTTAGTACACACAGCAAACGTGTTTGGAGTCTGTTGAGAACACCACAGTAACACACTTCATCAGATCTTAAGGTGGGAGCAAGACAAACGGTTTTGCAATAAGTTCCTGACCTTCAGCATGGCCTGCTGGTCCTCGCTGTATTCCACCTGGGCGGAGGAGAGGTTGAGGATAGCTCGCTCCACCGTGTCTCTTTCTGAGTTGTAGATGTAAACGTATGGACGACGCACGATGACATAGCGCTTTACCCATCCAGTGGTGTTTGGCTCCAAGAAGTTTAGGTAACCTTTCTTTGACACAATGGGGCTGAACATTGGACAAAACCGTCACATCAAATAAATGAAAATACTCACAAACGATGAAAGGTTTTAGAGTGATGGTTTCAGACCGACCTGACTCGTATCTCCTGGATGTCAGGGACCAGCTTGCGAGGTCGGGTTTTGATGTCGGGTGCTCCGTTGATAGATTTCTTGTCCTTGACATCTTGTGGTTCAGGACCGGGGCTAACAGCGCGGGACAGAGGTGTAGGTGGCCTGTAGTACAAAGAACTCTAGTCACACAGCAAAACCCTGCACATTACAGTGTGTGTGTGTGTGTGTGTGTGTGTGTGTGTGTGCGCGCGTATGTGCTCGTGCGTGTGTGCGCGTATGTGTGTGTGTGTGTGTAGGTGTGTGCGTGTGTGTGTGTGTGTGCGCGTATGTGTGTATGTGTGTGTGTGCGTGCGTGTGTGCGCGCGGGTGTGTGCGTGCGCGTGTGTGTGTGTATGTGTGTGCGTGCGCGCGTGTGTGTGTATGTGTGTGTGTGTGTGTGTGTGTGCGTGCGTGAGTGTGTGCGCGCGCGCGTGTGTGTGTATGTGTGTGTGTGTGTGTGCGTGAGTGTGTGCGCGCGGGTGTGTGTGTGTGTGCGTGCGTGCGTGTGTGTGTGTGTGCGTGTCTGTGTGTGTGTGCGTGTGTGTGTGTGCGTGTGTGTGTGTGTGTGTGTGTGCGTGAGTGTGTGTGTGTGTGCGTGCGTGTGTGTGTGTGCGTGTGTGTGTGTGTGCGTGTGTGTGTGTGTGTGTGCGTGTGTGTGTGATTTTTTTACTGATAAACCACAAAAACCACAGCTTTAGTTCTGACTCAGTGTTAATTTTGTTGACTAAATATCGTTTTTTGTTGTTGTGACAAATATATTTTTGTGGAATAAAATGAAAAAAAAAACATACACGCCAATAAAGAGTAAATTATGATGAATATTGATCGATATTTTCATTGACGAATAAGAGACGACAACGAAAATTGACAGAAACAAAAATCTAATCAGAAAACGAAAAAGATGGGAGACAGGAAAAGAACCGGAGTACGGAGCCGGCCGCTGTTTGAACAAGCTAACGCTAACCAGACATCCCATATCGATGTTTACGCTGGTAAAAGTCATGCCTACAGTGGCTGGGAGTAACAACAGTAGATGTCATTAGGGATGCACCGATACTGGTATCGGCGCCAATACCAATACCAACACCAGTATCGGTATCAGTAAAAGATAACCGATACCAATGCAGTTGCTCGAAAATGGCTTCACTGTAACTTGTCATTTCTGTTCACCTAATATTTTAGTTTTGTGATGATTTCTATTCATATATTTTACTTTTTATCTTCCTCACAGTCTTTTCCTGTTGAAAGCAGAGAAGAAAATAAAATCTGTATTCCAAATCATTGCATTTTTTTGTGTGATGGAAGTATTGGTATCGGTAATCGGTATCGGTGAGTACTCAGATCCAGATATCGGTATCGTATCGGTTTGGAAAAAAGAGGTATCGGTGCATCCCTAGATGTGATGATATGAAAAGTTTTTCTTGGTGAGTACACATTTGGAGTTTCCAGCGTGTGAACCGTGAGTTTTACGTATTTCTTTACAGTTTCAAGTAGGTGTAGTTAACGTTTCCTTTACACACGCAGGAGATTATTGCATCAGAAGAAAAATACATCAATTTTTGTCAACTAAAAAGACTAAAACCAAAACCAATTTGAAGACTAATTTGTGACTCAAATTAAAAAGAAATTTAGTCAAAAGACTAAAACTAAATAAAAATTTCTTGTCAAAATGAACACTGCTCTGACCTGAGTTCAGCATCGCTGTAGCGTCCCTCGACCAGCGACGGGCATGTTGAAGAAGGTGTGAGTGTGTTAAGAGCAGACATGGACGTGGACTCTTTCAGAAAGGTGATGGACATCTCAGCGATCTTTAGCAAACACAAACACAAGCTGCATCATCTGAGCAGAAGCAGTTGAAACCACTAACGACGCTGTGCTCGGGCTAGAGGGCTCCTCCAAACCGTTACCTTGCTTTCGCTGGCGCTGACGCACACATGGCTGTATTCTCTGTTGAAGGTGTGGGTGAGCAGCCGCAAACACTGTGAGAGAACGAGGGAGAACTCAAATCCTGATGTTTGGTATGAAACGTAGCTCAGCATTTCCGTGGGAACGGATGTTTACATTGTGCTTTATTTAGAGGGAATACAATGAAAACAGCAAATATTTATAAAAAACATGTGACCTTGATAGCGAGCTCCCTCTGCCTCTCGGTGGGGATCCCACAGCTGACGGAGCTGGCCTCCTGATCTACCTCTGTGGTTCGAGGTGACTCGCTCATCTCCTCCTGGAGACGGCCCAGAAGGGACTCCTGGCCTGAAAGCAGTGTGGACTCAAGTTTCTCCCTCAGCAGGAGGTAATGTTTGGTCTTCTCCACCTGAAGAATGAGGAGAATTTATCACAGACAATTAAGAAAAAATGTCTCTTTAGACTTTTGTCAACTTTTGGAAAGTGTGCAGACATGGATACGTCTACAAATATATTTTTAATTTATAAGAATGATCTGTTTGGTGATTTCCTAATGTTCAGCTCTAAGACTGTTATATGATTTGTATTTAGAATAAAAAGTGCTCCCTGTTCTCTAAGCCAGAAGTTTAATTTTCCACTCACTTATCAAGATCAGGGAGACTACGGATTACGATGTGCCAGATTAAAGAGAATCTACACCAGATGCTGCCATTAATAATCTATTTAGTTCAGCATGTGAACCAAAAAATGACTCAATATTAATCAAACATTAAATAATTTGCTTGATCCCTGACACTTTGAAGATGTGCGAGGCCCAGTCCTGTAAGCATTTCCAGCAGTGTGATAAAAACAAAAATGGTGGATTTGTACGGACCTTGCCTCATCAAACCTGGGTCTGGGTTTCATATGAAGTATCTGTGCAGTGACGGGGTGGGTGGGTGGGGAATTTAGGGTTTGCTTTGGTTTTCTTTAGTTATCATTTTGAGTTGATTCAGCCCAAATTTCTTTGTATCATAAGAATGTTCACATATTTTCCACTTTGCTTATGCTAGTGGTCAGTGTCTAAGCAAAGTATAAAAAATGTGCAAAAGTTAATTTATGACAGTAATTCAACTTAAAACTTGGGTTCTGGAACTATGCAGCATACTGTAAGGGACACAGACATACTATGTGAAGCCAGTATTGCACAGTAATTGAACAAATCCTGAGTATTGCATTGATGCTATGGAGTAACAGGATAAGAAGAAGAAGAAAATATCATTTCTATAGCGCCTCTCAAGATAAAAATCACGAGGCGCTTCACAAAAAACAAAAACAAAAAAAAAATTGTAAAAATATAAAAAAGCATTTCGAAAATGTTTAAAATATATTTAAAATGAGCAAGAATAAGCTATTGCGATTTAAAAGAAAAAATGTTAAGAAAGAGAGAGTGAATAGGAAAGAGGGAAATCAGTGGATCCTGAGGAAGGTGGAATAGGTGGCGAGAGCAGAATAAAGAGAGAGTGGTGAAGAAGGTCATCCTTGCCAGTACAACTTAAACCGAGGAGTTTTACACTCTAACTGCAGAGGGGGTGAATTATCTACGGTAGCATTTTACATCTGGGATGCAACACCAGATATTTCAAGCATTTACATGTTTTAATTGTGATGATTATGGCTTACAGCTGCTGATTATTGTGAAAATGTTCAATATTCTAAACTCAAAGTGTCGCACTCTAACCCTAAACACCTACAAAGGGTTCCGGAGGCTTTAGATGGTCTCTCAGTCTAAGCTGGATCATAAGTTAAATGGACTTCACCTGTTTCATCTGTATTATGATGGCGTGTGTGTGTGTGTGTGTGTGTGTGTGTGTGTGTGTGTGTGTGTGTGTGTGTGTGTGTGTGTGTGTGTGTGTGTGTGTGTGTGTGTGTGTGTGTGTGTGTGTGTGAACAGTTGCAAAAGGCTGCTCATATTGAGTCAGGATCTTCTGGAGGTTTCTTCCTGTTAAATGGAGACTAGGCAGTTTTGCTTTTAGCACACCTTAATCTCACAGCTGAAACATCTCCCAGTGTTCCTGTGTCTAGAGGAGTGCTTCATGAGTAAATCAAACACATCAGCTGTGTTCATGTAAAGCACGCAGGGAAATGCTGGAACCAGACTGCAGCGCCGAGTATGTCAGCTCATTTTTTTCTAAGTTCAAACAGACCAGACCGGCACTCATACTGACTCAAGAAAATGATTTTAAAACATTAAAAAGTTGCAGAGTATCCCTTTATAAGTATGTTTTCCTCTCCACTGTCACTACATGCTTGCTTAGTATGGGGAATGCTGTAAAGTCTCTGACACAAGTAACTAAATGGCATAATTAACTGAACTCCATTGGAAGTTCAATTGGAATATTTACAATGTAAAGTGCCTTGAGACGACTCTTGTTGTGATTTGGTGATATATAAATAAACTGAATCGAGTTTTTGTTCACATTTAAACTGCTCTATGGGGTTTACACTAATTACTATAAAAATGACTTTTGAGAGAGGTATATTACCAACCCCAGTAAATGTCACAAAACAGTGGGATGATTACTTTGTCTGCATGTTTATTTTATTTACCTTTTTCTTGTAAATACACCTTAAGCAATCACCACTGTACATATGTTTATTTGTGTAGAACATTGAGCTAACTGTCAGTTATTTTTCTGTCTTGCACTCATTGCAAAAGTTATGTGTAGCATAGCATTTGCTAGGATTAGTTTCAGTAGTATCGAACTCACATCTCGGAGAAGACTGAGTTTCTCCAGTTCCCAATGGTGCTCCAGAATCAGGCTGTCACTGCGTGGCCTCCATCCAGCCAGGTTCTCCTCTCCACGAACATAGGCCACAGAGGTGTCCAGCACCCGCCGGCGTCTCCGCTGCATACCTGGTGCAGGACAGAAGCTTTCATTTATTCATTATCATAACAACTAAATACTTATTAGTAGTCTGCCTGTGTCGGTGCATGTTTTCATGTGTTTATTTTCTAAATATCTTATGAACCACCAGACAATCTAATGAAACCTTCAGAATAACTAGTCACAATCATCAGTGGGGTCTCTCAGGGATGCGTGCGTTCACCTCTGCTGTTCTCTATCTACACTAGCGACTGTACTATCAACGCACCTGGCCACTGCCTCATTAAATACTCTAATACAGCTCTGGTGGGGCTGCTGACAGAGGGGGGGGGGGGGGAGTACCAGACATCTTCTCTGCCAATGCGACAAAGGTTAGCAGTGGTGTGAAATTAACTCACTCACATTAAACCCAACAAAAACAGAAGAGGTCTTCTTTGGGTCTACATATCACACACTGGCCCCTATAATAATACACAACACACCAGTAAAGCACTCCTCATCCTTCAAGTACTTGGGCATACATGTGGACTCTGCACTCTCATGGTCTCACCATGTGGACTACATCTGTAAAAAAGTCCAGTATAGGATCTATTTTCTAAGGAGACTTTTGGTGTCAACAGGATTCTTCAGAGATGTTTCAGTGCTACTACACTGAGCATCCTGCAGCATGGAAGTCCGGTTTGGCTGCGTAGCCATAATGTCCAGTGCAAGTCAAGAATACTAAGACTTTGGAGAGAGACAGTCAGTGGAGAGTCCCGTTTTCAGTGGTTAGTCCTCACAAACCCGAAGACTAGCAAGCGCAATAACTGCAGAGCCCTCTCATGTTTTGCATGGAGAGTACCAGCATCGCCCATCAGGCAGGCGCTTTAAGGTTGGTTTATGCTTGACGCGTCCGCGAGGTTCTCACGCTCTGCGCGGAAAAGTTGCGTCATTTTAACAACCACGCCCCTCCACCGCGTCTCCGCACGGCCCAAAATTTCCGCACCCCACACCTAGGAAATTTTCTAACCACGCGGACGGTCGGACGCGGAAAAACATGGCGGACCGGCAAGAACTAGTATGGCAGAGGTTCGTAAATACAGACATTTGTATGATTCAGCTCTCAGAGATCACCGTGATCAACGTGTTGTTAATAATTCTTGGAGAGAAATAGCTCGCACTGTCGGAAAAGACGAGAACGCTGTTAAAAATGCTGGAATGCCATGTTGTAAACAGTAATTTCTACTTCTACTATGGTGTAGTGTTGGATGCATGCCGTAGAGCTCCATGCTGCCCCCTACAGTTTGGGAGAATATTGGCTCACCGCAGAGACAAGCCGCACGAACCATAAACGCTGCGAGTTGTGAAGCGCGTTCCATCCACGAGCCGCATCACCGCGCGGAAAGTGAACGCGTCAAGCATAAACCGAGCTTTAGAGTGCCATCGGGCAGAAGGAACAAATATAAACATTAACTTGTCCCATATTCAAATAGTCGACTCAGTCAGTAGCGTTATGCGGCTGGAAGGATTCAGTTTTTAAAGGTGTTTTTAAGGTGTTGCCTGTACTGATTAAAATCTTATCTTAATTATTGTAGATTGATCCACAACTGATTCACTTTTGATGATCTAATTCAGGATTGTTGCCACAGCTGAAAGAAGACAGCTCAGATTCAGTACTTTTTACAGACTGAGCTTGAATTTAATGTGTTAGTAGTTAGGACTCATTCACTAAAGTGATAGCAGGTCGTGTGTGCATAGCGCTATTTTCAAGAGTGCATTGCTAATGAGGCTAATAAGCTAATTGTTGCTGCTGATAGCAGGTAACAGTAACTCTTTGCAAACAGACACTGCAAACAACTTATAAATAACTGAAATAAAGGCTTATTTTTGTAAAAATGTCACTTCCACCCACACCTACAATTCTGAGGGTGAGCACTACTCTCAGCTCGTACCTGGGCTCGCCGCGTCTGCCTGGTGACACAGGCTGACCTCGTAAACTCCAGTGATGCGATTTCTTTGAGAAAAAAATGAGTGAACAAATAATGAGTGACTTTTTTACAACTTCCCATATTTTCTTTTATAAGAGCTCTTTCTATACTCACCCATCTGCAGCTCTCAGGCTTCCTGTGCCAAAAAGGTTGCGAATTGAACGAGAAGCTGAGAGCTTTGTGTCTCGGGAATAAAACACCATGCAGACGTCTTTGGTTATGACAGCAGGCTGCACGCAGTTCTCCATCTGCAGTTGATAAAACATTCTTTCTCTAGAGCAACACGAACGGACACAGCTCGAGTTATTTCTGACTGTTCTGTACCTCCAAGTAGGCCGAGAGGGTCATGTAGATCTTCTCCCCGTTTGGAGTGACTCGGTTCAGTAGCAGGGAGTTGTGCATCGAGCTGTCCCATGCCGCCTCAAACCGATAAAAAGTCCTGAGACGGTTCAAGAGACAGGAAGTCAAGGACAGCGTCGGCAGTCAGACACACACACAAAAAGTAGCCAACAAATCCATGCTACCTATAAACTAAAATGATATTTCTTCAATAAAAGAAGGTAATAAAAAAGTATGTGTTGAGGACTAATGTGATTTGCAACCAGGGATGTGTATTGTTGAAATTCTGGCGATACGATACATATCACGATACAGGGGAGACGATACGATATATCACGATATGTTGCAATACATTCAGTCAGACGTTACAAGCTATTTTTTTACTGAATTTATTGTAAGAATGTTCAATAAACAGTCCAAATTGATACGCAACATGTTTAACTTGAGGTATCTGACCCGTGATGGAGGGATTTACATTTCAGTGGTGTAAACAAAACCCGTTGCACACTGCTGCCAACTAGCGGGTGGCGACTGGATTGCACAAAACGAAAAGAAAATACACAAATGTTTGCATGTAAATTCTTTCAAAAATTAGATACACGGCTTTTGAATATCGATGTAATAATCGCAGGAAAAAAATAACGATATATTGCCATATCGATATTTCCGATACACAGCTTTTGAATATCGATATAATATTGCTGGAATAAATATCACGATATATTGCCATATCGATATTTTCTTACATCCCTATTTGCAACCATAACTAAATTGCTAAAGGTACAGTAGAATATTTAACGGTGTACGCAGGATTTTAAGTATAAACAACCTGACATTTGTTCTGCATGCAACAGGCTGAGATGATATTCTTCTTTGCACATGACATTACATAAAAGCAGATGAGAGCAGAGATGGACGTCAGTACAAAGACAGGAGGTGAGGTATGGTAGAAGGCCAGAGAAAATGAGGGACAGGGCAGTGAAATACCTATGGTCAACTCCTGGGGAGATTCTGTGTGAAAGAAGAAATCAGCAAAGAGAACAGAATGTGAGAGTCAGGAAGAATGACCGTCCACTTGTGTGGCTGGGATGGTGTTTGTCTTCTTCACTATTAAATACAATATCTCATAATATAAACAATGCTCTGCTCCGCAAGGCTCAACCAAGTCCTGATCCGTCATCACGAGTGCCACCGAGAACATCGGCACAGAATGACACCCGCATTAGTCGTCACAAGGTGTGCTGCCTCAGGCTTACAGAACCTTCTGAGGTTGAGTGATTAATTCAAATACCCCCGTTGCCGTTAAAATGACCTCCCAATAATCACATTTCCACTGCATTTGTGAAGAAGGCTTCATGATGTCTAAGAATGTCCAGCAACAACAGGACCCTCTTCTTGCTTGCTCACGAATGGCAGCAGTCAGGTGTGAGTGCATCTGAAGCACAGCAAGAAGACTTTGGAGCGTAGTCTGGTGTCAAGAAGAAGCAGCTTGTCTTCATGAAAAACATCAGAGACTGAATGATATTCTGATGAAGGTCCAGGGATTGGACTGCTGAGGAAAAGTCCTTTCTAGTGATTGTCTGGAGAAGAAAAGGTGAGCGTCATCATCATTCCTGTGTCCCACTGACAATAAAGCAGCATGAGACCTGAGATCCTGAGTGTGGAGTTGCTTCTCAGGCAAAGGAATGGACTCACTCACAGTTTAGCCTTCCACAAACAGACATGAATAAAGAATGGTACCTAAACGTCCTCCAAGAGGAACTAATCCAACAGTTTAGCATGCACAAGACCTTTTCCAGCACGATGGATCACAGAGCCATTATTAGGCTAAAGTCAGAGCTAACTGGCTCAAGAAATGAAACGTTAGCATTTTGGCTTCATGTCCAGTAAACTATCGTAGATCTTAATGCCATAGAGAACTTATGGTTATTCCTCAAAAAGCAGGTGAACAAATAAAACCCAAAAATTTCCATAAGAAATCCAAGCATTGATTATGAAGAGTGAGTTGCCGTCAGTCATAATTTGGACCAGAAGTTGACAAAATGTCAGTGTGGGCCCGTGGGCCGCCTATTGAGTACCTAGAAATAGGACCATCACTAACATTTCAAATATTTACATGAAAAAAAAAAAAAACAATAGTCAATAAAACAACATGGTTTCAAGTCGAAAAAGGGCGGAATGCCTTCTCCAGGTCAGGGATGGGGTCCTGCCTCAAGTGGAGGGGTTTAAGTATCTCGGGGTCTTTTGGTGCTGCATCTGCAGTGATGCGAGTGTTGTACCGGTCTGTCGTGGTGAAGAGAGAACTGAGCCAGAAGGCGAAGCTCTCGATTTATTGATCAATCTACGTTCCAATCCTCACCTATGATCACGAACTTAGGGTAGTGACCGAAAGAACGAGATTACGAACACAAGCGCCTGAAATGAATTTTTTTCACGGGGTGTCTGGGCTCTCCCCGAGAGACAGGGTGAGATGATCGGTCATCCGGGAGGGGCTCGGAGTAGATTTGCTGCTCCTCCACATCGAGAGGAGCCAGTTGAGGTGGCTCAGGCATCTGATTAGGATACCTCCTGGACGCCTCCCTGGTGAGGTTTTCTGGGCACGTCCAACCGGGAGGAGACCTAAAGGAGGACCCAGGACACGCTGGAGGGACTATGTCTCTCGCCTGGCCGGGGAACGCCTTGGGATTCCCCCGGCGGAGCCGGCCCAGGTGGCTGGGGAGAGGGAAGTCTGGGCGTCTCGACTTAGGCTGCTGCCCCCGCGACCCGACCCCGGATAAGTGGAAGAAAATGAATGGATGGAAGCTTTTACTTCAGGAATCAGAAACGTCTGAAAAAAATATCTAAAAACACAAAAGCAGCAAACTTAGTGAACTCTCAGAACGTTGGGCCGTGACTGTACAGTCCTAAAAAATGTCTCTTTCTGATGCACTCGTGAATTTCTCCTCCATACATAAATGTACACAAACATTTTCATGCCCCTCGAGGGAAAATAATCACACACTAAAAGCTGCGAGTATTCTGGGACCGCCTTAAATCTAAAAAACAATTATCCGAGTAAGACCTGCAAGAGAAGACCAGTGTTTCTGCGGGCCGTTAAAAGCAGGCTGAATGGGCTCTTCATGAGGTTCATATGTTCAGCCCACTGCTGCTGGACTGAGATAACCTTGTTGCAAAGTGATCAATGCATCGACCAGAAGACAGCAAACACACTGTGCTGGAGCAACAGCAACCCGGTAGTGCATGTTGTAATTTAGAGGTGGCTGAGAGCAGAGACACCCTTTCTCTCACAAGTAATTAGCCAGAGTTACACGCTTCGCATACTACTTCCAAACAGCAGAAAGCTGTTCGCTTAAACTACAATGAAGCAATTTCCTCTCTGCACCGCTCAGTTGAGCGCCTCTCTGAGTTTTACTAGCTCCTAAAGCTGTAGGAGCCAGCGCTGAAGTCATGCTACTGGCAGCACATGTGAAGAACCATTTGCTTGGCAGAGTTTCACCGAGGTACGAGAAAGATTTAAAAATATTCACAACATTCTGGGATAAAGTGCTACCGGTGAGGTAATGGTTCAGTGGATTATATTTTAATAGCTGTATTTAAACATCTTGCCAAAGTGGGTATTGTTGGTGGTGTGATCCTTGTTACGTTAACAGGGACTGATGGATGTTCCTAGCAATTTCCTGTAGCTGGGGTGGGAAATACTTGACTTTCAACTAAATTACTTTTATGAATTAAAAATAATACATCACTTAAAAGGTCACAAGTAAAAGGAAAGGAAAAATAGTCACATGGTGTGTGTTTTGTGGAATAAAAACACAAAATCATTTCCCCGCCCATCTGTTTAAAAGTAGATTTATATCGCCCCCTGCTGGCAAATTTAAATAATGCATCAAGAGTGGTTCACCTTAGTAACAACTGCATGATATTAAATGTGATTAGCATATAAATAAGCAATAAAACAGATGGAAGACCTCACAGGTGCCTTCAGCATTTTTTAAAGTCCAGTTCATGTCCAAAGATTCAACCCTAACATGGCTGAACACTTCCCTAAAACCACTGTCAGAAGACTCGTGCAGCCACTGCAAAAGTAAAAACTCCAGCGTTTGACTCCTCTAGCAGAGACCAGCCAAAGAAAGGGAAGCAAAGCAGAGCCATGCAGACCCTGTCTATCATCAACATCAGCCTGCTAACAGCCAAACACACACCCAGCACAACAAGAGACCCCAGGACATGCACAACCCTCACTTCTCATGAAGAAGAAAGGGGAAATATATACAGATGAATGGCTGAAAGTCATGACAGAGTGGGTGAGGAGGAGACCAAATCACAGAAGGCTGACTATAGGGATGACGGGGAGTTCAGAAGGTCAGGAGGTCGAGGTGCGTGTATAACTAAAGATTACAGAAATGGAGGCAAATGAATGTACCTAGGCATGTCCGAATCAAGAAACTGTCTGCAGAGCAAAAATAAAAATGCAAAAGAACAACATTCTGTTAGTGAACTGTGGGAAGAAATGTTAGCATTCATAAATACATTAATGTTAGTTTCAGCAAGACATAAACCAGGATTTAGACGGTTTTCTGAACAATATTTGAAGGTATCAAGTCTTTTGTGTAAACAGAAAATGTTTCAGATCTTTGAGTTCAGCTCATGAGATATGGGAGCAAAAACTAAAATGTTCATTTTATTCCGTGTAAATTAGGGATGGGTACCTTTGACATTTGAATCGATCCGGTACTAATTCCCGGTACCTAGGAATCGATACCGGTACTTAACGGTACCAATTTTCGATACTTTTGAGTGTTTAATATTTTAATTCTCTTTTATAATTAAATATATATTTTTCTCAATTTATAACCATATTTGATAAATATCACGATAAATAACATACAACTGTTTGTATTTTAACATCGTCCTTGTAGTTTTATAAGCTGATAATTAAACTGAAGCAAACATCTTTACTGTGAACTAAATTTACTGTGTATCTTCATTCCTTTTGCCGTCCTTTTTCATTTGAGTTTTCCTACTGGGAAGTTAGAATTTCCGAGGAGAAAGCGAACGCACCATTAAATGATAACAATGGTGGCAATGGAAGCTAACATATCAAGCTAACGTTATCTTAAACAGTTTATTTAGCTGCTGGAGCAGATTAAAACGATGATGCCTCACACTTAGATCGTTGTCACTGGTTTCATCTTCACCCAATCACCCGTCGCATTTAGTAAAGTGAAGCCAAACTTTAGAGCGCGTTCATGTTCTTCTAGTCGGAATTTCGGAGTTCCGAGGAGAAAGCGAACGCACCATTAGCGAAACGGAAGCTAACAAATCGAGCTAACGTCATCTTACATTTTATTCAATTAAAAAATACTTTATTAATCCCAGAGGGAAATTGATTATTTACCTACCGGAGCAGATTAAGATGAGGATGTCTCACTTAGATCGTTGTCGCTGGTTTCATCATCACCCAGTTACCCATCACATTTAGTGAAGTGGACCCAAGCTTTAGCGTGCGTTCTTTCTACCATGCTGCTCTGTTTACAACTCGCTCGCAGCGAGCGACGACATAACGCTCTTGCACATGCGCAGCTGTCTAGGCAAGTTCTCGTTGTTAAGGACGGGTACCGAAACGAGGCACCGTTTCAAATGACGTGAATCGGTGCTCAGTCGGTACTGAAATTATTTCCTAAACTGAAAATAAGTTTTATTTATAATGGAGTCTGTCAGTCTGGATTAGACCTCCTGCTGTTAAAAAATAACACACTCATGAAGACACAGTTACAGAGAGCTTAAAGGAACCTGATGAGGTGTCTTGAGCCATGCTGGTTTTAACAACATGCCGTGCATTTACCTCAACTTTAACAGAGAAGATTCACTATTTATTGACAAAAGGCCATAACAATCAACAGCTCAGCCAAGCTACTGCTGCATGTAACGTCAGAATAAAAACGCTACGACGCCCGACACTCACCTGTCCTCCTGCAGGGGCCTGATATATCCCGCAGATAAGATGTTTAACGAGAGAATATTCGGGTCGACGATGTTCTCGTCAGATTCAGGAGTGTTACGCAGACGGCCTGGGGCAAGCACACAGTTAGATAAGCTCTCTAAGATTTTTAATAAAACGTTTACTTTCGGTTGGGAAGCGTGAAATCCTCACATACCCACGACAAGCTCACGGATGTCGTTCCATTCAATGTCGCCCCCAGATTCATGAACAATAGTGACAGCAATTCTTCTCTGAAGGCCCTGAAGTGAAAACATGCAAGGATGAACATCTTAGGTGTGTTCTTGCTGTGTCGTGGTTCTAATTCCATGCTGTCGTTCTTTTTAAAACGCAGAAACAGTTTTGTTTACCTGTGTTGTCGCACACGGGGCCGCCGCGGCCCCGTGTGCGACAACACAGGTAAACAAAACTGTTTCTGCGCGGCCCCGTGTGTGACAAAACAGGTAAACAAAACTGTTTCTGTGTTTTAAAAAGAACGACAGCATGGAATTAGACGTAAGGATGAAGGTTATTGCTTTTGTTAGCAATCATGTGTGTGTGTGTGTTGTAAAACATTAATAAAAATATTAATTAAAAATATCCCTCCAGGTTTTCAAGTGTGTATTTTGCTGACAAATACACACAAACACTCGAGAAATCCAGACTAACCTGGTGCAGTAAGAATGTGCCGTGGCATGGCACGCCTCCTCTGTGGTCCACCACAGCAGGAATGTAGCTAGGATTAAATGGTGGATGCAACCATTACCAACAGGTGCACCAAATCAAGGTAAAAACATTTTTTTCTACAGGGTAACATTTAATCAACAGGTGAGTTGACATCGAACGCTCACTCTCCATTGGCCTCCAGCTCGCAGATCTCAAAGAACACCATTAGGTCGTATTTGCAGTGGCATGGTCCTGCCTGCGGGCGGGCCAGCGTGGTCAGCTTGGTGGCAGGCACTGGGGTGAAAAGGATTTTAGAAACAAGTTATACAGGAAGACACAAGGTAAGAGCACACAGGTGGAGAGAAAACGGGTCTAGCTACTGTACAGTGAGGAGAGAGAAAGGAAGCCGGGAAGGAAATCAGTGACGCACCAACAGATGAGACACAGCGCTGCAGATTGAGCTGCTTCTCAATCTTGAAAGAAAAGCGTCTGGACTTCTTTGAGTTGCTTGAAGACGTTTCACCTCTCATCCGAGAGGCTTCTTCAGTTCTAAGGCAGTGTTGCCAGATCCAAAATCCCACAATATTGTACAGAGAGGCCTAAATTCTCGTTTTTCAGTACAAATTATCGTACATTATAAATTTGATAATAACGTTCTATAAACGACTTCTCACTCCAATATAACAAAGAAGGTGTTTTATATTGCCCTGTTTAAATAAACATCTTTAAAACCAGTAATATAATGCCCATAAACGTGCAACATTATATAACCTTACAGTTTCTCGCGAGAGTAGGCCCTATCAATGTGATTGGGCTATTTATTGTAGATCCAGAGTCAGTTTTTGTAATAGACACAACAGCATTAACCTGTAAGCACTGAGGTGAAATCTGACTTCAGAACAGTTTAAAATTATGTAATGGACTTGGGAAAGCCACAGCAAAAGACGGTGTTACTAGGTGCAATGTGAAATTATCGTAAATTTGAGGATTTTTGAAACTATTGATCGTACATCGTACAGAGCCCAAAATTATAGTACAAATACGATAATTATCGTACATCTGGCAACACTGTTCTAAGGTCAAATGGTGGAGTCCCAGATTTAAACCCAGTGGGAGTTTCCCCCCGAAGAGGGAACAAAAGACCCCCTGACGATCTTCTACATAAACACATCAGGGGTCATCAGGGGGTCTTTTGTTCCCTCTTCAGGGGGAAACTCCCACTGGGTTTAAATCTGGGACTCCACCATTTGACCTTAGAACTGAAGAAGCCTCTCGGATGAGAGGTGAAACGTCTTCAAGCAACTCAAAGAAGTCCAGACGCTTTTCTTTCAAAGCTCCTTCGACTACAATGACCTGGATGACTGAGAGCCTTCACAGACATGCTTCTCAATCTTATTTTAACAAGAATGCTGCCTAATCTGTACAAATGAAGAATCTATTAAAAACAGTCTCTCTCAACTCCAGGACCCCTCCCTGAAAATGATTTAGGAGTATCTGCATCCATAAAACTCCAAAGGAAAGAAAATGATGTAATATAAACAGAGAATTGAACGATCTGGTGAATTTGTGCTTTTCTGAAGGACTTCAGCGTTAACAAGGCAATATGAGATTGAGAGAAACTCAAAGAAGGAGCTGCAAGGAGAATTCACCACGAAGGTCAACACCACACCGTGCACCAGAGAGCCAATCCAGCTGCAGAATCCTGACATGAAATCTCTTTTATATCAACCGGCTTCACTTTCGAAGTCTCAAAATCACAGAGTTTTTCCTCCATCAACTTGCCATTTTCTCTGATCTGTTCCCGAGCACAAGCAGACTAAATTTTACATTTTTGGAATAGTGAAAATATCCAATATCTCATCGGCAAGCAGTATTTTCATAAATGTGAAATGTGGCTGATTAAGGTTTCTCCTAGCAGCGACATAAAGACTTGATATAAAACAGTTTCCAGCAGCAGGATTCTCTTGGATCTGACAGGAACAACCAACCAGGTTTCTGAGCTTTGATAACTGAACAGATAGACACGGGTGGAGCTGGCAGCGGAGCTCGCTCGTTTGCTTCCAGCAGGAAGGAAGCGGCCATGCCGGCAGCAGACAGAGCATGGCCTGACAGCGAGTCCACAAACATCCCATTGAACACATCGGGGACCAGGTATCGGATTAGCTCCAGGGACTTCTCTCGATCCGATGAATCGTCCGAGTCCACTGCTCACACCCAACAACATGAAGCTACGATGACATGACTTGCAGCAAAATGACAACGTGCAAAAGGTGCAACGACAGTGCAACATAAACGAAGGAAGTTACTCCACACAGGACTTCGTTACCTGGTTTGGACAGAGGCATCACTCTTGGAAACGGTCTTCTGCAGGGACGGAGTGGACTGGAAATGTAAACAATGACATAATAAAGCAATGCTCTTCCCTGAGTTTTTGTGGTAAACTGTTGATTTACTAATCAGACATGTCACCTGATGACGTCTGTGCAAAGAGGAAGAAAAGGCTGTTTCAGGTAGTGTCCAAACACCTCGAAGACAATTGGCTGAGTCTTGATGTAGTCCACAAAGGACTTGGTAACTTCAACAGCAATCTGTAGCACAAGGCTTTGATGAGCTCTTGTATTAAAACCAACTTGATGGTCCAAGATTTTCGTTTATCTCTCTTACATTTTGCACATGGTAGAAGCCAAGAGGAGGACCATGGCCGGTGTTCTTCAGAGGTTCAGTAGAGAAGGCCTCATCGTGGCGGTGGATGAAACTAAAACACAAAACAGAAGACAAAGTATTTTACACAGGAAATTTGTCTTTTGTTGAGAACCGATAGACTCATTGCAGTTTAGGTCAAGTAAAAACAAAAAGGAGCATTACATCTATCCAGCAGTTCGTCAGCATCCAGAGTATCGTATGAGTGGTATTTCTCACTGAAGACATTTTTAAATAAAAATTTGTCTAAAACTGACTAAGTTACAGCCCTTTTTGCACTTGTTGATGTCAGTTAGCTGTGGTGGCAGCCTCGAATGGGATTGATCTAAATCGTTAGTAAATGACCTGCACTTGTACAGCATCATTCTGAGTCTCCACAGTGCTTTACACTTCAATAATTCATCCCTTCACACGCTGGTGGTGATGAGCTACAGCTGCATTGGGGCGCACTGGCAGAGGCGAGGCTGCCGTAAGCCGGGGCCACCGGTCCCACCGACCACTACCAGCAGGCAAGGTGGGTTAGGTGTCTTGTCCAGGGACACAACCACTGACACATGGGTTCAAACTGGCAACCACCTGATTACAGGGTTATCCCCTGACCCCTGAGCCACCAGGTGGGTGACAAATAAAATACAGTGATCCCTCGTTTATCGCGGTAGATGCGCTCCAGACCTGGCCGCGATAGGTGAAAATCCGCGAAGTAGGGACACCATATTTACAGTACAGCACATTCTCTTTTTGTGGGTAAAACTCAAGAAAAAAAAATTTTTACTTGTTTTTTTATCAAAAAGTGCATTTTATGATGAAACTGATGAAAAAAAAACAGGAATTTCTTGATATCTCGCATAGAAAAATACCACAAATCGGTGAAAAATACCGCAAATCTGCGGATTTCCCTTGAATAAGGCTCCAAAGAAAAATCCGCGAGGTTGTGAATCCGCGACAAACGAACCGCGGAGTAGCGAGGGATCACTGTATGCTGAACATATCAAGCGTTGGTCCCCATGCTTATTTTATTAGACAATATGATGACTGTAAAGCCACACACACACACACACACACACACACACACACACACACACACACACACACACACACACACACACACACACACACACACACACACACACACACACACACACACACACACACACACACACACACACACACACACACACACACACACACACACACACACACACACACACACACACACACACACACACACTAATCTTACTTGAACTGACAGAAGATATCTGTATATTGTGCAGGGATGCTGGAGGCTTGCAGGACAGTCACTCTGAAGGTAAACATGTCACCGATCTTCAGATGCTCCAGATTCGCCTCTTCCAGACCAGCCTTTGGTGGACTCTCCAACTCATCTGCACCAGCTGTGAGGAGCAAAAATGACAAACACGGGTTGATGTTTGCACACCTGACGCAGAGTTGAGTGGATCAGGTTTGATGCATCTGATTGAAAGAATATTTTTCTCTGACTATCCATCAGCCGCTTGACTGACATTTTAGGACACTCATGAGTAAGAGCACCATTCACATGTATGTTCATATTGCCCACACCTGTGTTGTTGTTGACTTCATCAGCTGAAGGAACCAGTTCTGCATTCTGTCCTTCTCCCTCCACAAAGCGAAGCTCCTCCTGGGAAATCCCAGTGCAGGACAGTCCCACAGAGCTGGACTCAGACTGGAACTGCAAACACAAACACACAACAGAGCGGTGAATAGGTCTATAGAAAGTGACGCCACCAACAGTGGCAAAGCTCTGAGGAAGACTGCGGTTTTAGTCAAAATGTCAGCAAAAACAAGGTAAAAACTGCTCTTTTGCTGTGTTAAAAAAAGAACCAAGTAATGCAGTTGGACGAAACACACAGAATGAACGTTTAAAAGAGGTTTGTAGAAATGTTTTACTTCCACTGCATGACACGTTTTGAAAAAAAATCCGTTTACAAGTAGCGGCTGGCATTGGACCACTTCTTGTTGCAGCAATCCTAAATGAATTGCTCCAAATAGCACGCTGAACTTTAGCTTACCTGTCGACCAAAAAAAATAAAAAAATCTGGCAACAGAGGCGTCTGTAGGGAGCCCAACCTTCGCTTTCAGTGCTCACCATTGTTGAAAAGACTCTGATCTTATTTCTCACTTCACAGGCCTTTCTCTTCTCATCATAGACTTTAAAGACACTTATTTACTTGCGACTCTCGGCCTTAGGGGTTGTATGAACTAGTCGACTAGTCGACTTCACGGCTCTGTAATGACTTTTTATGCCTGTTATCGACTAGTTGCTGTCACGTGATAATGACTGACAAGATGCAGTCCTCCAGCAGGTGATAGCCCCTGCGTGTCGGGAGGCGGAGGCAACGCGCTGTGCCAGAGCGTCGGTACTGACACCGGCGGTAAAACGGACATTTAACCAAACTGTGACCTTTTCCCTCTTGCAATTTTACCTTCCCCTCACCCCCATCCTAATCTTAACCAGTTTGCGCATGCAAAGCTCTGATTGTTGACGCGCTCCAGACATCTGCGTCCTGAGCACCGCCAAATCAGGTGTCACCACCTCAAAAACAAATTAAACACGCAATCGTTCATGTCGGCTCGTTTCCTTTCATGTTTTCTGTCTGTTGTTTGTTGCCTGATGCGTTTCGCTGCTGCGGAGCGAGGCGCATCACCTGTTTTGTCCTCCGGTAACGCACCCCCAAGATTCCACTATCTCCGCTCCGCTCCGGCACGAACTCCGCAGCAAAAACGGTCCCGTTGTAGTCGGCCGGCGAGCAGTGAGCACTCCGCTGTTTTAGCGGTCAGTAGATCTTTTAGAACTGCAGTTCAAAGGTAACTCATGAGGTGAATATATATGAACCCAGGTCGCAGTTTCTCTTTAGGACTGAGAGGAGATGCAGGAAGATAATAAACAGGCAGGACAGAAAAATAGTCAAATAAAAACAAGTTAGTTTTTGAACCTGCTGGTTGCAACAAACAAACACCATTGAAGGTAATCAGAAGTGAGGAACAGAAAATGAAATAATTATTTTAATGTTTAGAGCAGCAGGAACTCCGAGAGGCTGCAGGCGCATCAGTGAGTTTGCGGCCGCTGCGCGGGGGAGGGAGGAGAGGGCTGAAGCAGGAACTACCGTTGTTAAAAGAGATGTTAACTTAGAAAATGTGGGCGCAATTTTAATTGTCAAAAACTCCAGCGAACCTACCCCCCCCCCCCCCCGTGCCGCTTCAGGTGTATGACGTCATCAATGACTAGTCGAAGTCGACTCGATTTTCATTACTTGACTGTCGACTTTAAAAAAAATTAAGTCATGCAACCCCTATCGGCCATTTTCAAAAGAACCCGGTGAGAACAGCGAAGACTGAAGGCGTATCTCTCTACACATAAAAAGAATGCGCAGGTAGCGAAAACTAACCCAGGAACGAGCACGTACGACATGAAAACTTCACCAAAATGATTGACAGTTATGTGAACCAATGGCTCAGAAGATCCACCCGGGAAAAAAAATAATAAATCCTCCGCTATACCTTTAACTTTCATGAGATCCTTCTTTACCTTCTCATACTGCTGGTCCTCAAATGAGATTTTAGCTGTGCCTGACTGTCTCACTCCTGAGCCGTAGTCGGGAGCCTCCTCGTCAGCTGGAGGGAAACATAAAGCACCTTCACCTCACTCCCTCCAGAAGTCCCACCCAGCACATCTTTTCAGCTGCATTTTACTGTTTGATCTGCTTATATGATGGCTGTGAGCCTTACCTGATATGGCCTGCACAGCCACCCGCAGGAAGCCCTTGACCTCTCCCTTCTCGCTGACTATGGCCACGCGGTGGACCAGAGGAACCAGGTACAGCAGGTTACTCAGGTAAACAAAAGCCCTGAACAGCAAGCAGAGAGAAAGAGCAGCAATAAAACACGAAACAAGCCAGAAACAGCGTTTCAGCTAGACACGTCTTCACAGGACTGGACAAAAGAACACAGAGCTGCAAAGCAACCAAACAGAAGCTGGGACTGCTCTAGCGATGGCCACGGCTGCCCTTTACTACTGCTTTATAGGGGATGTTTCTTTGTAACGTCAAGAAACTTTAAAGTAGTGGGCGACATCCTTTTTCTTTCATAATGCAGATGAAGCCTTGGTGAGGCTGAGGAGCATGTGTGTAAAGGTGTGAGTCTTTAAATGAGATTAAAATACTGGCAACCAGCTCTAAACACAGCTGGAGGACACATTATAGACTCAATGAGTTAGCCTTTTAATTCATGTACCTAAATAAAAACTCATGTAAATAATCCTCTAATCTAACAGAGACAGGATGAGCACTTTAAATTACTTAGCTTTTCATAACACGTCCCTTCAGTGTCACGTGAAAATAACCTGACATTTGAGTGTTACATAAAAGCTGAACCAGATTTAGTCAGGGGCGTGTCCAGGGAGTGGCCTGGGGTGGCACATGCCACCCTTGGAATCTGACTGGCCACCCCAGGTGCCACCACACTAATTTACCTTTAAATCGGCTTTTCATTGTCCACAAAAGGCTTGGGGGTAAAACAAAAAAAGCATAACCATTGGTGCCACCCATGCACAAAGTTGTGCCTCACCTGGGCCACCCCATTTTAAAAGATCTGGAGACGCCACTGGATGTAATCTGTAAGGGGACGAATGCTTTTTCACAGCAGTGCTAGATGTGACTCGTATGCGTCAGAGTGCTTCTCTTTTTTGGGCTTTACTACGGTATCTCATCCCAAACTAAAATACAAGCTCAATCAGTCAAAGACCACATCTCTCATGAGCCAGAAGGGGGAAGATATTAACGGAGGGAGTGTTCAAAGGGAGAAGTTTATGACAAGATTGGTGAGGTGCAAAACAGGCATGCTCAGGTAAAAAAAAAAGATAAATAAAATGCTTTCAACTTTCGACTCAAAGGAATGAAAAGCAAATGGGACATAAATCATCTTATGGAACATGGCTCAGCTTTAATTTTAAAAAAAAAAGTGCCAACAGCTTGATATAGACAGTGTGCTACACCAAAAACCAACGAATGACATCAAAAATTAAAGTGCACCACCTGGATCAAAGTGGTCCAAAAACGGGGGACTGGTTTTTACCATCAAAGGTATTCAAGTGAAAGCTGACAACAAAAAAGGGTAAAAATGACAAGACTTGTGCTCTGGCATGCCTAAAAGAGACAGCTGCAGCAGAAACCAGCTCTTTCATCTTGAGACTTGGAGTCTTCCTTTAGCGCCAGTCTGCTAGCTCGTACGGATCATTTCTAAAATGTGTCAGACTTGTTCAGCTTGGTGAGAACATTCCACCGTGGGTCCTTGTGTTACGCAAATCAGACTTCACTATACTCCTTGAGTTGAGTCAGCACATGGATTTGGCTTGGGTTCATATTGACGGATGCAGATGTGAGACGTGAGCTCCCAGCAGCCCTTTAGCATCAGTGTGTTTTCAGATTCAGGGGGAACAAGTGGAAGATCCACCCGTGGTGACATGGCTGTATGATTACTACATCTAACAGATAGAAAAAATAATAATAACAAGAGAACCTTTTCACTGAGAGGATACACAGAAGCAGTCGGACACATTCATCATGGGTGTCGTAATGGTCTGGGGGTTTTAATGATTGACTTGAGATGTCCATTATCCAGGAGGAATAATTATACAACTTCAGCTGTTTTGAAGTGCGCAGGTTTAAAATCATTTTCTTTCTCCTCTGCAGTCAAAATGTAAACACCCCTCTTCTAATACTTGGTTACATGTCACCCCCAAATCAACAATTTTTTTCTGATAAACTATATAAATGCATGTCTAATCGTGCTGCAGACACGTGTCGTCAATAGTTTTGCACTTTAGTGCATTTTAGTTCAAATTAAAATTTTCTGCCTGAAACTGTCAGTGTTGTGCCGTTGTCAGGTAAAAACTCTTCACTGCATTTGAATTTAAATCTGCCACCGCTATTGGCTAAGAGGTATGCTATGATGTAAACTGGTACATTATGATGTCACAATGTTGTGAGTGTGTGTATTTGTTAGTGGCTCCACCCTCTCGGTCTGCTAGGCAACCGCATTTGTTGCATTTTTCAAACATGAAGTGGGAGTGAAGTACGCTTCTTGTAAGGGGTGACTTCCTCTTTAAAGCTGGAAAGGCTAACTTACAAAACAAGCTAGCTTAAACCTTTTTTTTATGAGCTACGGATATGTTGTAGACAAAAATACAAACAAATAAAAAAATCTTTAAAGTGGTTCTCTCATTATTCTAAAAACCTCCACCAATACCACGGCTCGGTCCCAAACCAACGGCCGAACCATCCGGTAGTCGGTCTCAACGAAGCTACCAGGGTCCTCCATTCATAACGCACTCGCGTATTTTGCAACAGAGCACCACAGGTGTGGGAGGTTCTCCGCTCACTGATATCAGGTGAGAAACAGTCGGCTGCTTTAGAGAAAACTACCAGAGTTCCAGAAAGAAAAACACCATTTGAAGTCATGGGCAACAAAAAATGTTTGGACCTAGAAAACTGCAAATGGTGTTTAGCGCTATCTAGTTTACTCGGGCAATGCCGGTTCCAATATCAGAGGGGCGTGGCCTAGAGTTGACAGCCGATGGGAGAGTTCAGTGACCACTTTAAAAGCTAGCTTGTTTTGTGTTTTTGTGTCCATGACCAAGTTTCTTTGTGACCCCTGTTGGATATTCAACCTCTCTTCTTGGCAGAATTGATAGATTACTTGATTTGTTTTGTTTTTTTCTAGGTAAAAACCTGGTTTTCAATCCCAGATTGATGATTGGCTAACAGGGAAGGCTAATCTAGACTATTTACGTTAGTTTACCTAACCTATATTTGAGCCGGTTTGAATCATTTTGACCCTCCATTAGAAAAAAAAAAACAACTACAGTGACATTAGCTTATTCGACACACAATTCAAGTGTAGCTGTGTGGTATAACATAATTCCACCCTGGAAACATCAGACTTCAAAAGGCCAAATACAATCCTACATTTCTTCCAGTATCCTCTCAGAAATTAAAACAATTTTAGCGGTGCAGGGGACATTTGTGAATGCTTGTGGCTTAAAGGTGAAGGTGACAATGACAACAGAGGTAAGAAACTCAAAGCAAGCCCATTTGGCTTTAAATGGTTAACATTAATGAGCATTTAGGGAAATGAATTAACCCCAAACAACAAAAAGCTGAAGGTAAAGACCATTTTCAAGTTTCAGGTGAAACGGTCACAGTTGAAAAGAAATGTCAGCTCCATGTGGCCATAACAACTGCCGTTTTTATGTCATAGCTTGACAATAATAATAAAGGAAACAATCAGTAGAACGCATGAGGTTACAACACAACAAAAATACAACATATGTCACATATTATTGTGTGATTCTCTGTAATTTTTATCTCTATCAAGAGAAAAAGACCCCGCGTCTCAGTGTGAAAGAGCTAGTTTCCTCCACCAGCATGCTCCTGAAACCTCACCAACCTTCCCACTACACTGAATAATGGAGAGCGGTCGTAAAAGGGATCCTGGCCTTCGCTGGAGCCTCGGCAGAGCTCTCCCTCATCATCCTCATCCTCTGCCCCGAGCTCCGAGCACGGATCGTCCAAAAAGATATCATCGTCCAGGTCTTCCAGCTCTTCCAACTCCTCCTCCTCCCCTCGACCCTCCCTCTGCGAGTCAGCCAGCTCAGTAATTTCAGAGGTGGAAAGGGTCGGGGATGGGGTGGGGTCACTCATGCGCTCGCTCATGCACGTGTTGAAAATGGGGTTTCTGGTGCAGCCAGAGACACGGGAGCTAGGTTAGTACAGTTAGAACAGAGCACACATTTGTTTCAACAAACGGGGCGGCAGAGAAATAGATGGACTGGATCACACGAGAAAGCCCTCCTCCCTTTGGTCCAAAACATGGAGAAGACGGCCTTTAATGGAGACAGGTGTAACAGATGGGAAATGTTTGCCAGCTACAGCTGAGGTCAAAGGTAGGAGAGAAACGTCCTGCAGCAAGAATTCAGTTCAACAGACCGAGAACTGGATGTTGACTCAGTAACTAGGGATGGGTACCTTTGACATTTGAATCGATCCGGTACTAATTCCCGGTACCTACGAATCGATACCGGTATTTAACGGTACCAATTTTCAATACTTTTGAGTATTTATTATTTTAATTCTCTTTTATAATTAAATATTTTTCTCAATATATAACCATATTTGATAAATATCACGATAAATAACATACAACTGTTTGTATTTTAACATCGTCCTTGTAGTTTTATAAGCTGATAATTAAACTGAAGCAAACATCTTTACTGTGAACTAAATTTACTGTGTATCTTCATTCCTTTTGCCGTCTTTTTTCATTTGATTTTTCCTACTGGGAAGTTAGAATTTCCAAGGAGAAAGCGAACGCACCATTAGCTGATAACAATGGTAGCAATGGAAGCTAACATATCAAGCTAACGTTATCTTAAACAGTTTATTTAGCTGCTGGAGCAGATTAAAACGATGATGCCTCACACTTACATCGTTATCACTGGTTTCATCTTCACCCAATCACCCGTCACATTTAGTAAAGTGAAGCCAAACTTTAGAGCGCGTTCATGTTCTTCTAGTCGGAAATTCGGAGTTCCGAGGAGAAAGCGAACGTACCATTAGCGAAACTGAAGCTAACATATCAAGCTAACGTTATCTTAAACATTTTATTTACCTACCGGAGCAGATTAAGATGAGGATGTCTCACTTAGATCGTTGTCGCTGGTTTCATCATCACCCAGTTACCCGTCACATTTAGTGAAGTGGACCCAAGCTTTAGCGTGCGTTCTTTCTACCATGCTGCTCTGTTTACAACTCGCTCGCAGGGAGCGACGACATAACGCTCTTGCGCATGCGCAGCTGTCTAGGCAAGTTCTCGTTATGAAGGTCGGGTACCGAAACGAGGCACCGTTTGAAATGACGTGAATCTGTGCTCGGTCGGTACTATGGAATTCGGTCGGTACCTTAAAAAGTACCGAATTCGGTACCCATCCCTATCAGTAACATCACGTAGAACCCAGAGTGAGTCCCAAACAGGCTTCCAGGAACAAGTTCACATGAAGCCTAATCCCATTTTCAAGCCCACTTAGCAGCCATGAACCTGAGATTGTTTTTCATTAAGTTAACTCAGTGTTTGGTTAGTGAATCCTATCCATTCCTCCCAAAAATGTACATCTCTCCATTATTTTAATTTAATGACGATTTTTGACCACTCAGAAGTGAAATAAATAAATAAATAAATAAACAAACAAACAAACAATCAGGGGAGGACATGTTTTGTATCCCAGGTTAAATAATCAAGCTAAGTTACTGAGAAAAAAGTCAAGAAAAAAAAAAGGCTTAAGAATGAAACCAGTAACTGTGTAAAAAAATACTACAATGCCCGCCATCCCTTGTGTGAATAAGCTACCTAAAAATAACTTCTCAGATTGTAAAGTGCTTTGGGCTGCAGCATGACTTTTACCAACAACCATTTATGTTCCTTTCACAAACTTTAGACGTTTCGTTTGTGTTTGGGACTCTTATTGTGAAGGTTTACAGGAAGATCTGTGAGTTTCGCTGTTGTGATGCTGCAAGACTAAAGACCACAATCCAAATGGATTTAAGGAGAAAAAACAAGGTCAGGTTCAGGACCTCTAAGGTTTTAGTTCCTCATGCAGTTCTGAGACTTTTCTCAACCTTTAACTTCACCCCTTTAAAGTGGACTTACTGGATTTTAAAGTATCAACCCTCGAGAGTCACTGGGGGACTTTTAGAAAATTTATTTTAAAATGAAAGATCACGTTACAAAGGGTTATTCAGTACATAATCTCATTTGTTCCCCTCCACATTTGCACCAGGGCTTCATAAGCCCGGCGGCCAGCCAGGCTTTGCTTGGCCACCCGCCAGGCTAAGCAGCATGCCCCTCCCCGACCCCACCGTGTCCGCTGACACGAACGGCACAACGAAACTAGAGCCCTCCGTCAGCTGATACTGGTGAGAAACAGCAGCGGAACGTGTGCAGCCACCCCACCCCGCTCTCACGGAGGAGCGTTGCGGGACTGAGCGCGACACCCCCACCCTGAATGAGTTCAGGAAAAATGCCTTCCTGTTCTCATGGAGCTCAGTAGTTACCTGCCGACCAGGCGGAACCAGGGAAACCGATCATAAAACGGGTCACCTCCTGTCATCACGTTTTCCCCCTCCTCTGTGGTGTTGTTGGGCAAATCAGCAGCCCGATCGTACATCTCTCTCATGAGATCAAGCCTCTGCCTGCAGGAAGCAGCAAAACATTTAATAATTATGATTGTTTTCCTTGTGTGACCAATAACTAGGACAGAAACTGATAACAGATTTATTTTATTGCAACACCAATCAGCTGATTTTGGGTTGTTTATAATAGAAATACCGTAAATCCTCTAATACAGGCCCGGGCCTGTATTTGACTCAAGCTCATCAAGCTCCAGGCCTTTATTGGAAGGGCCAGAATTAGAGGCAGGCCTCAATTTCTATTTAAGCAAAATGAACTAATGGTTCGCTGGAGTTTTTGACAATTAAAATTGTGCCCACATTTTCAAAGTTAAACACATCTCTTTTAACAACGGTAGTTTCTGCTTCAGCCCTCTCCCCCCTCCCCCTGCTTCAGCCCTCTCCCCCCTCCCCCTGCACAGCAGTTGCAAACTCACTGATGCACCTGCAGCGTCTCGGAGTTCCTGCTGCTCTAAACATTAAAATAATTATTTCATTTTCTGTTCCTCACTTCTGATGACCTTCAATGGTGTCTGTTTGTTGCAACCAGCAGGTACAAAAACTAACTTGTTTTTATTTGACTATTTTTCTGTCCTGTCTGTTTATTATCTTCCTGCATCTCCTCTCAATCCTAAAGAAAAACTGCTACCTGGGTTCATATATATTCACCTCATGAGTTACCTTTGAACTGCAGTTCTAAAAGATCTACCGACCGCAAAAACAGTGGAGTGCCGCTGCTTGGCGGCCGCATCAGTGATCGGTACGTCATCGGAGGACAAGGTGATGCGGCCCAATCCACAGCAGCGAAACGCATCAGGCACAAATAAAAGACAGAAAACATAAAAGGAAATGAGCCGACATGAACGATCGCGTGTTAAATTAGTTTTTGAGGTGGCGACACCTGATTTGATAATGTTACTGTGGCCGTGCTCAGGACGCAGATGTCTGGAGCGCGCCAATAATCAGAGTTTTGCATGCGCACGCTGGTTAAGGTTAGGATGGGGGTGAGGGGAAGGTTAAATTGCAAGAGGGTAAACGTCACAATTTGGTTAAATGTCCGTTTTACGGTGGGTGTCAGTACCGACGCTCTGGCACAGCGCGTTGCCTCCCGACGCGCAGGAGATTGTCACCTGCTGACAGCAGGCTGCTGTCTTTTCCGAGGGCTGCATCTTGCCGGTCATTATCACGTGACAGCGACTAGTCGATGACAGGCATAAAAAGTCACTATAGTGAAGTCGACTAGTTCATACAACCCCTACTGCTCCCCAGTGTGTTCTGCAGCATAATCAGCAAGTTCTCTTTGAACTTGATATCAAATTTTCGCCTCCTCTTCATCTCCGTACGGTTAAAGTTACCCTCGCGGTCTATCGCTGGCAAATCAAAAGTGAGACGGATGACACAACCGCCCCCCATGTTGTACTTGCTTGTTACCACATTCCACCCGGCCACAATAAAATACCGGCCATTATTCACCTCCGCCGACTCCGACACCGGCCAAAATATGATACCCGGCCGTTAATTGAATAGAGGCCAATATTAGAGGATTTACGGTATAATGAACTATGGCTGATTGGACCGCTATTGTCATTCCAAAGAGACTGGAGTGGTAGGCCACTCCCATTTTATGGCAGGGTGAATTTAAATGTCAACACGTTGTTTAGATTAAAATCACCACATTTTTTAGAACTCAACATATTGATGTAGCAATTCATTTTATTACGAATATATTTTTACCACCATCATTTGTTTATATGTTTAAACATGATGAAATCAAGGATATAATTTTCAAAAAAGATAAGGGAACCTTTTTACACCCAAAGTTAATTTATTATGAGGAGCTAAATATGGCAACCCATAGCTGTTATTTTTTATGCATTAATGCACTTTACGATCTGCTCTCAATAGCTACATGTTTAATGGTGTATTGATAATATAGTTACTGGCCTCAGTAATGCAAGAGTTTCATGCAATTTAGTGACTTGGTTTATGTTCATGCACCTTAGTTTCTCTAAGGTCCAGTAGTGAGTTGCACCATTATTCTGATTTTGCACTTCCACCGCCACTATGGTGAGAGGAAAATGTTGTTTTTCTCTGTCTTCAGTTGCCTCTGGTGGTAACAGGTCAGGAGGCAGGGGGGAGTAGAGAGTGTTGGTCAGCAACACAAACTGGAACTGCACCTGAAGGGGAACAGGAAGTGTTAGTTTGGTAAAGAGGCTGCTGATGATGCTTGAATACGGCGACATGCTGCACCTTCTTCTTGAGCTCCACACTTATAGCGTTGGCTTCTTTGAGGAAAATGGCATTTCCCCATAAAAGGTCACGCAGTGAGGTGAACTGGTAGCACCTCCACTTGCGGAAACTCCACACAGCCACCTCTCTCTCCCTTTCTGTCCACTGAACTGTCAGCCAAAATTGCAAAGCATCCTCATGTCGCCAAGACATCCAAACAACCAAAATATGAGCAGCCCACATGAACAGTCTCTACCTTCCTCATCTGGATCATCCTCTTCCTCAGGGGCTTCTGGGTAACAACGGTCCACTTGTTTCTGAAGAGCCTCGAGCTTGCTCTCATAATCCTGGAAAGAATATTAATTCTATAATGATAATCATTCAAATCTACTTACCTTATTGAAGAAAAGCAGATCTCCTGTCAACTTTTATATCTGTTATTGCCTTTTGGATGTCACTAATGACTCTAAGCTGCTAAAACACTAAATTTTATCTCAATATCTGTGAAACTGAGTTATAGTCATCATGGTTTATGTTCATTAGTTGTGGCAGCCATATTGAATCAAGTTGAAATCATAAGCTAGAATCAGTTGTCAGACAATCATCCTATGATTATTTAATTTAATTTAAAATCGGGTGCTCCATTAAACCCTTTAACAGATATCTCCAACAACTAACTTAAAATTGATGTTTTTCTGTTATGTATGTGATACATTATTTATCTATTGTATGAATTAAATTGTAAATAATTAAAACATAGAGCTGAAGAAAAGCTAAACACATACATTACCTCAGAATAAATGTGTGCAACCAAAGCAACCTATTTCTAACATACTTTGGTAGTTTAACTATCAATATTATATAGTAGCAGTTACTAGCATTATACATGAAACAAGTACATGCTATTGTACATATAAAACCATAAAAAGTGCTCAATGCTGTACCAGTCTTTGCTGCTCCAGAAGGTTGTTGGCCTCCTCTCTTTCTTTGCGATACTGATCCTCCAACTCCTGCAGCCTTCACAGAACACAAACAACAAAAATGAAGGTTTTTAGAATGTCGGACAAAAGTAAAGTATTTTTCTGTTTTTGTTGATGTTAAAAAAAGGAGAGGATGTAATTTTAAGACTTTGTGACAAGATTCAAACTACAAATTTTGCACACCAGTCACACGACTGAAACTATTTCTTTGCAATAATGTCTTTATAAAACTAAAACCTATTGCAAAAATTACAAATGCAGTTGATTTGATTCCAACAACAATATAGCAAATTTTACTCACGATTCTATGTCACCAACTAGTCACTAACAACGGCGGCTCAGTGAGATAGTGGGTGTTTTCAATGTCATGGAACCTTGCCTTGATACCTTGGTCCTGCTCCGGTTGCCTTGGAGATACGCCATCAGGAATTGCCAAGGCGTGTTCTAATGCCCATGTGCTACGGAGGTGTCTGTCTTGCTTTTGTCAGCCTTTTAACCAACTGACCAAGGATACACTGGAGGTGTCTTGATTTACTTCTTTCGGTCAAAAATGTCCCAGAATACAGTGCTAAATTTTGAAACAGCAGCTACTTTGGGGGGCAAATTTCCAGATTGAACTTAAGTGGAATAATTGTAGCTATAGGGCTGATATCTAAAATGTTTTTTAAATCCAAAGCACTTATCTATGGTTGGTTAGTTGCTTAGTAGTTGCTGCTTCGGTGGCTAGCGGGTAGTAACTCGCTTACACATTTGATTTAACCAATATATACACAATTTAAAAAGTAAAAGGCTTGTTGTGTAAATGTGTTTGATTAACTTTGGTTAAATGTTTGATTTTAATAATCTTCAGTCCACAAAATAGAATCAAAAGTTGGTTTTCATTTCACAGGGACAAGTGTGCAGATGGAGGCACTTGGCAATGGGCAATGTGAGATCACTGGCCAACAAGATGGATGAACTCTAAGCCCTTTCAAGGACTCAGCCAGAGTATCGGCAGTGCAGGGTTATGCGTTTCACTGAGACGTGGCTGCAGGACCATGTCCCCGATTCCAGCGTCTCTCTGCCAGGATTCCTGACTGTACGAGCAGACAGAGATCTGAAGAGGAGCGGGAAAAGAAAAGGAGGTGGAGTGGCAGTGCTTGTCAACAACAGATGGTGCCATCCAGGTCATGTTTCAGTGAAATGTCGTCTCTGCAGCCCAGATGTTGAATTCTTGGCAGCAAGTTGTCAGCCATATTATTTGCCAAGAGAGTTCACCAGTGTTGTCTTGGCAACCGTTTATATTCCACCTTCAGCCATTGCTGAAAATGCATGTGATGCCATCAGTTCCGTTGTCACTAAGCTCCAAACCCAGCACCCCAAAGCATTTGTGGCTATATCTGGTGATTTTAATCATGCCTCACTCTCTGCTACACTTGCAACATTTCAACAGTTTGTCAGCTGCTCCACCAGAGAAAACAAGACTTTACATTTGTGTTATGCAAATGTAAAGAATGCATACATGTCCAAAACAAGACCTCCTCTGGGACAATCAGATCACAATCTTGTATTTCTCTGCTCAGAATATAAACCACTTGTTCAGAGGCAACCTGTGACAAGAAGAGCTGTGAGAAAATAGTCACAGGACGCTGAAGAAGCCCTGCAGGGTTGTTTTGAGACCACAGATTGGATGACTCTCTGCCAAGGATATGAAGAGGACATCAATGCCATGACTGGATGTGTCACTGACTACATAAACTTCTGTGTGGACAACATCATACCCACCAGAACAGTGAGATGCTTCACTAATAACAAACCCTGGATCACCAGTGAACTGAAGAATCTGCTAAATGAGGAAAAAAGAGCCTTTAAGGAGGGAGATGGGGAATTATTGAGGAGTATACAGAAGCAACTGAAGATCAAGATCAGAGACAGCAAGGAGGCATACAGGAAGAAGCTGGAGAACAAACTACAGAGGAACAATATCAGAGATGTCTGGTCAGGGATGAAGAAGATCACAGGCTTCAAGCAGAGGAAGGATTGCACAGATGGCAGCTCGGACACAGCCAATGAAGTGAACAAGTTCTTCAATAGGTTCAGTTCAGGAACAAACCCAGCATCCTCCTCGCCTGTCCCCAGCCAATCAGAACTCCCATCCTCCTCTGATCCAACATTTTCCTGTCACACGCCAGCTCTTTTGCCCTCTAACACAGTCATGGACTCTTCTGGTTCTATAAATCTGTCTTCAACCAAGTCAAGAGATGCTGCTGCCTCATTTACCTCCCCCACCCACCCATCTGTCTCTAGAAGTCAGGTGAAGAGGCAGCTGGAGAGACTGAACAGGAACAAGGCTGCAGGTCCAGATGGTGTCAGCCCCAGGGTACTGAAGGCCTGTGAAGACCAGCTCTGTGGGATTCTGCAGCACCTCTTCAACCTCAGCCTGGCCCAGGAGAAGGTTCCAGTTCTGTGGAAGACATCCTGCCTTGTTCCAGTTCCAAAGAAAACTCGCCCATCAGTCAATGATTACTACAGACCGGTTGCTCTGACATCCCACATCATGAAGGTCCTGGAGAGACTCCTGTTGGTCCACCTGAATAAGCAAACTAGGACATATCAGGACCAGCTGCAGTTTGCTTATCGCCATGGAGTTGGAGTTGAAGATGCCATCATCCAGCTGCTTCAACCAACCCACTGTCATCTGGACAAAGCAGGCAGCACTGTGAGGGTCATGTTCTTTGATGTCTCCAGTGCATTTAACACAATCCAGCCTGATGTACTTTGCCAGAAACTCCAGAAGACACAGGTGGGGGCCTCAACTATCACCTGGATTAAAGACTACCTGACAAACAGACCACAGTTTGTGAGGCTGAAGAACTGCACATCAAACCAGGCGATCAGTAACATTGGAGCACCACAGGGGACTGTACTCTCACCATTCCTTTTCACCCTGTACACCTCAGACTTCCAGTACAAGTCAGAGACCTGTCATCTACAGAAATACTCAGATGACTCTGCAGTTGTCGGGTGTATCAGAGATGGACAGGAAGCTGAGTAAAGAGAGCTGGTGGAGCGCTTTGTGGCATGGTGTGGAAACAATCATCTGACCTTGAACGTGAACAAAACAAAGGAGATGATTTTAGACTTCAGAAGAAACAGGGTGGAGTCAAACACTGTTTCCATCATGGGAGAAGAAGTGGAGGTGGTAGAGGAATACAAACACCTTGGAGTTCACCTGGACAACAGACTGGACTGGAGAAAGAACAGCGAAGCCGTTTACAAGAAGGGACACAGCAGACTGCACTTCTTGAGGAAGCTTAGGTCCTTCAATGTCTGTAGCAAGATGCTGCAGATCTTCTACAAGTCTGTTGTTGAGAGTGTAATCTCTTCATCCATCGTCTGTTGGGGTAGCAGCATCAGAAGCAGGGACCTGAAAAGGCTCAACAGCCTAATAAAAAAGGCTGGTTCTGTTCTGGGGACGACTGTGGAACCACTGGAGGAGATCATGCAAAGAAGGATTCTCCAGAGAATCAAGAAAATGATGGACAACCCTGAGCATTCTCTTCACAAGACTGTCCGACAACGGAAGAGTGTCTTCAGTCAGAGGCTTCTTCAGTTTGGCTGCAACACTGACCGCTACTGGAGATCCTTCCTGCCAACAGCCATTGTAATATACAACAGCTCTTTGATGACTTGATTATTATTATTATTATTATTATGAGCTACTACAGCAATCAATTTCCCTCTGGGATGAATAAAGTAATTTTGAATTGAATTGAACTGAATTTATTCACCTCCATAGGCTGTATAAGGAGAGGTTCACTAAGGGCAAGGACACAACTCTGGGCAGCCTTGGTCATGTCAAGTAAGCGTTCCATTTAGCCATTTTCAGTGACTAAGCTAGGACAGTGTCCTCATAAGCAAGGCGTCTTGCCTACCAAGGCATTGCTTTAGTAGGCAAGGCGCCTTACCATTAAGAAACACCCACTAGCTTCTCTAGCTTGTTTCCATACTAATTCCACCTATCTTGTTTCAGTACCTCTGTTCCATCTCTTGTTTCATGTCAATCCCTTGTTTCTCCAGCAGCTCCCTTTGTGCGAACGCCCAGTCCACAGGCTCAGCAGGAGTTTCAGCACAGGGGGTTCTCTCCCTCTCCGCCCTGGCCTGCTCAGGGTGGTTAAACCGGAAAACGTGGCTCTTCCCCAGGATGATGCGATTACCTTCAAATGTACCACAAACAACAACGTGTAAGTTACACATCTATGTACACGATCAACGCAACAGTAAGATGGTATTCGGACCTGATTTCAGAACAGTGGGCTCGGTCACTCTCTTCCCATTAACATAAGTCTCAGCTCCTTCACACGGCTCCAGGACAACTTCTGTTTAGAAAGGGAAGAGGGGTTTAGTATTACAGTAACACAAACTCTGATATACACACAACAACCATGTGGATGAAGTAAAATTGTCTCACTTTCACCCACTGGACCAGCAGATCGTGTAAAGGTGCAGTGCTCATCCTGGATGAAAAGGCCACTGAGGACTATATCCTGACGACTGCTGGCATCCAAGCGACCAACCCTAAGAAGTATAAAATGTTCAAGTCAATGTTTAAATGTGCATGACATTGATCTTAATCAATAAAATCTGTATTTCTGACCTTGTGATTCCTTCTTTAATGTAGTACAACAGGCACTCAGACATGAGAGGATCCTCATTGAGGTTCACCAAATGAGGCGTCTGACAAAGAAATGGAATTTACTGCCAACATCTGGTAAGTAACATACAAACAATGGCCAACAGTTAAGAGAATGACACAAGGGATGGTCTTCACAAGCTTGCTGCTTCACGGTTTTAAGATACATTTTTTGTCAGGTAGTTCTCTGGTAACTGGAGGAGATTTACTGGCATTTTATACACGTACATAAGTTTTTTATTGACCGTTTATGTAAATGGTCGATATTTGCAGTACTGGTGATTCTTTTTCGAGACCTCTGTAGTTCATCCTGGCATGCTGTTGATCAGCATCTGGTCCAAGTCCTTCTGACTGATGGCAGCCCAGTCTTCAAACTCAATACCGATACAGAACTGTTCTGAGGCTGCGTGAGTCCACTCCCTTTGTTGAGAAGCAGCCCCACACATGAAAGGTGTAGACGTTTGTTGGCAGAATTGATGGAAGAGCTCACCTTTTCTCCGTCGGACAATTTTTTTCTGGATGTTCCAAAAGGGATTCAGAGTAAATGACTATCCCAGTCCTCAGCAGTCCAGTTCGTGGACCTTTAATAGAACACCAGTCTGTCCCTGATGGTTTTCTTTGAGAGAAGAGGCTTCTTTGTTGCTTCATAACATTTTGAAGTTCATAGAAACTGTGATAGTTATTTTTTGTGTCATTCTCACAACTTTTGGTCACAGATGTACAGCAAATCTCTATAAGTTGTTTATAATAAGCCATACAGAAGAAATCTGAGAGCACTCTCCCACTTTAGGACCAGTGCCAGTTAAAGCCACACAGACTTAGTAACTCCCCACAGTGTTTAATGCACGAGAGTTTAATGAAGTCTTCAGTGTAAACAGGCTGAAGGTACACAGCAATAAATCACTGGAAGGAAGGGATGGCCATTATCTTTTCCACCGTGTTTACACTCTTCCCTGCTATTGGGGCAGTTTTGTGTTAAGTATGTAATTAAGTAGATTAACCTTCACTGAAGAAGAGAAACCCTCATCTGAGGTGCTTAGGAAAGATTCCTATAGAGAAAAACCTTAAAGCACTCAGAGGAGACAAACACTTCAGAGCAACCAACCTCATTAGGGGAAAACAGACCAACTGTGTCAATAAACACAGGCTGAGGCTTTCTGGGGATATCAGAGGGCTTTGGGGTAAATAAGCATTATTTAGAATAATATAACTGGTAGGAACTATATCATGAATACATCTTTGAAGTAAAATTTATTTTTACCTTCTTAGGAGAGAACACCCCTACAGTGCCGCCATCTTCTCGGATTGCCACGCCCATTTCTGCCAGCAGTGCTTCTCTGTAAAAAGAGCACATCTCACTAAACCACGCGTTTGCTTCATGAGAAAAAGCCTCTTCTGTGTAACCTGTGACTGCTTTGGCCTGTGGCTGAAATTGGACACATCTCTATTAGACTACATACTGTACATTTTGGGAAGGAAGTGACTTGTCAAAGACATACGTCTCATCTTAAGTGTTGGACCGATAAAGTTTTAATTTGTCCCACTGCGTAAATTATAACAGCATCCCTTGGCCAAATCATACCTTTACAGATTTGGTGCATTTGTGCTCAAGAGTTTCAGGTACAAAAGTAAATGGTGGATTTGTACCCACCCCTGGACACTTTGTACCCACTACAGACCATTAATTTCACAGTTTTGGACCATACCATATTCACTTTGTATCTATCTTAACACTGATGTTTTAATTTACTGCATGTTTCCAGAATAATTTTGAATTTTTAAAACATAATTCAATTTAAAGCAAGCATTAAGCACCTATAATAATTAATGTTTACCCGACAAGCAGGGTTTTCTTCTTCTATACTTCTTACAAGAATCATCCACCGTGGCTCTGGTGTTTATGTGATTCATGCGATGTGCCTGAGCTACACACACCCTAATTATTTTGTGTGCTGAATTAAAATAAAGCACACACTGAGCTGGTCCTTCTATACACATCTAAGTGGAGCTGGTGCCTTTGGGTCAGGGTGCAAATAAAACCCATAGAAAAAGGACATTATGGTTATGGTTGTGGTGCATCATGATGGCATGGTTATTGTATGAAATAAAGTTCAGCGCCACATGTAGTCAGGGTTGTGTGTGTGTGTGCACTGAAGCACGATAAAGCACAGGAAGTTATTCAAGGTGCAGATTGGTACCTAACTGATACAATTTGACAGCAACTAGTAAGTAAGTAAGTAAGTAAAGTTTATTTATAGAGCGCCTTTCACAGACATAAATCACAAAGCGCTGTACAACATGAGTAAAATCAGAGCAAATACCTCAAACCAATAAAAACATCATAAAAACAATAGCAGTGACAACAATAGTAACCAAAATCAGGAGTAAAAACAAAGTCAAGGTGTGAACAAGAACAAAGCCATCTTTTAGAATATTTAGCGGGGGAACGCCTGGATGAAAAGGTGAGTTTTAAGATGTTTTTTAAAGACTTCTACATATTTCAAGAGACGGAGATTTGAAGGCAGACTGTTCCAAAGTCTGGGGGCAATAGACTGAAAGGCGCTGTCTCCTTTGGTTCGAGGAACAGCCAGGAGGTTTTCAGATGTGGATCTAAGGTTCCGTGAAGTGGTGTACTATTTGACCAACTGACCTGCTCATGAATAAATTGGAAAATTGGAAATAAACAAAACAGAATAAAACATTACCTTTCCATTCTGATGGCTTCTGTCCTGCGAAGTTTCTCTTCCCAGGTCTCATTGAGCTCAGCGATTATCTTCTCTGTTTCCTAACATTTAAAACATCTAGTCATTCAAAGTAGCTCTGGCACAAATGAAACCACTTCTTTGGGTTCTGGATGTCAATAATCTACAACGTTTTCTGTTTTCTCTGTATTTCTGTCATTTTACCCTCAACTGTAGTACAGATACACTTTTTCACGTGCCTGGTTGTTTTAAGACTTTGCCAGTTTGTTTAATTGTGAGGCTTAGAATGTAAAATACATATTTACAGTTTTTCTCAATGGCTATAACACTAAAATCCGTCGACTGAAGGAAGTTCTCAGTTGCTTGAACTCATTAAGCTAACTGTTGAGCCTGTTGCCAAAACCTTAAACCATTTCACACGGTCTAGCAAAACTCTAAACGCATTCTCATTCTTAAAACACATTCTGCACTCTAATGTACGTCATGTCATCCATAACGGTACACACAAGCGGCACATTTACCCGTAACAAGAGCACAAATGTCAGTGACTGAACACAATCAGTCAAAACAGATTTCACTTGTTTGAAATGATGTGACGACCAGTATAAGCGAGTTCAGAGAGCAAACAGGTTGTTGAAGGTGGGAATGAGTAAGTGTGACAATGGATAGAAGAATTCATGTGAGGACGAGGACGGGTGCGTATGCGAGGTGGGGGATGAGGAGGAGGGCAAGAAAGAGAAAGAGGAGGACGAAGAGGAAGACAAAGAGTGGAAATGTCCAGTGAAATCTGAGCAACAACCATAGACCATGTTGTTGTCCGTGGGCTGACAACGAGGGAAGCAGGACTTAGAGAGCAGCCCAGTTTGAGCCTCAGGAGGGAAAACATTGCATGTGATGTCGATGAAGAGCTGTGGCCTGACCCAGCCACAGACAAGAAGAGGCTCATTGATAACATGTTTTGTCGTTTGATGTTTTTCATTTTATGTATTTTTTTCACTGTCATTGAACACGGTAGCACACGGACTGCAGGCTGTATACATGGTACAATAAACAAACTGTATGGCCCTGAACTTTGTGCTTTCTATTTTGTGGTGTATTGTTTACTGACTGCTTGATGGTGTATGTCATTTTGAGTAATCTGTTTATGATTTGAGAGTAGTGTTGGATTTTGAGCGCAGCTAAATCTGCTTTGAGGCGAAAGTTTGATTTTGCAAGAGGAATGAGAGGTTTTGTGTTTAATGTTTTGAGAAAAGGGAGAAAGGTTTCATGAATTGTGCTTTAGCAATTGAGAAAAACTGTAATGTGGCTGTCAGAACACTGGACCCGTCAGTAATAAAGACTAACAGATTTGTTGTGACTGTAATGGTTGTTGGCATCTGACTGAACAGCCTGCACAATGCCAATCTGGAACATGTGAGTTTGAGGCTTACCTTCAGCCTCTCAATGGCCTCCTCGCTGCCTGGGCTGAACATGATGCGGTCATGCAGACTGGCAATAGATCCAGCTCGGCTGGACAAGGCGGAGAGGGATGGAGAGGGGCTCATCCCCGTCATAGCATTGGTCACTGTGGAAAGATCACCTCTTTGATTCACAGCTTGGCCCTTATTATTATTATTGTTGTTGTAATCAAATATGTCTGTCAGGGTGGGGCAGGGCACAGGAAGTGGATGGGAAGTAGGATTAGGGTATTCAGTAATCAGAAGTAAAAAGACAAGAAAATGCAGAAGAGAAGAGAAGAGAAGAGAAGAGAAGAGAAGGCAGCTTTTATAAAAATAATGGCAGCACCAGCAAGAGATGCAGCAAACAATGCATGATGCAACCACCCAGCTGCTGCATGGCTCAAAGAAAATTGAAACGTTCAAGCAAAGCCCTTTAGCAGAATCACAGCAAATAAAAAGGGACGGTTTCTGTGCACTGAGCTCATCTCTCAGCTTTGAAAATATTCTCAAAAATGTTTGCAATGGTTTCCAACTAGCCACCACTGGCCAGTCCAGTGAGATGCTGGCTTTAACAGAGTCTGAATTAAGTTGATCTATAGCTATCAAAAAGTCATTTTGTCCTCAGGAGGGGTTGCATGGCGGTGCAGCTCGCAGCATCCCGGCTGCAGCCTTTCTGCACGGAGTGAGCAGGTTTCCCCAAAGCCTGCATTTTCTCTGGCTGCACCCATTTCCTCCAGACGAAAAACACGCATGTTAGATTCATACGTAAGTCGCGTTGCATAAAAGCATCACAAACGACATAAACAACTCAGGATGATTAACTAATCTTACTGAAGATAGAGATCCTTTTCTATTGTAACACTGGTATTTTTACAGAAACTGTTTTATGCAACATTTGGTGTTTATTCAACTTCTATATTTTTATTTTGGCTTCATGAGGTCTGTTTAATCATCAAACACAAAGGGCATTGGCCACGCTGCTGAAGCTACACCCAACCGTCTGATTTCAGTCAGCCATGATAAATGATTTCATCTTGCTTTCCAGATAATAAAAGGGTGTGCTCTAGAAAGAAGAGGAAATGTTATGGATCAGATGAGACGATTCTCTTCTGTTACAGAAATGAACACGCTCTGTTACTGTTTGCCTTCTCATCATCCAGGCTGCTGAGTGGAGTAAATTAAACCAGAGAAACCCTGACAGGAAGTTAGTTTCTACAACAGGAAAATTAATGACTGAGAAGAAATGAATCATATCATGCTCACTACTCTTCCGTAAGGTCAGCCTCACTAATGCCACATCCATGAAGCCATACGCTGATCTCTGCAGCACAGTCATGCAATGTGGCCCAAACATGGCTTGAAAACTAAAAAGAGAGCCTGAACAAACATGGACTACTTGATATTTGAAATAACCTGGTGCTGCAGAGAACACAAGCTGCTATTCACTGCCACAGAAAGCACCTGTGTCATTGAGCTGCAGTACCAAAGCAAGAGCAAAGAAAAGAGAATAAACACACGTTTCAAACCCTCTATATCGACACCAGATGCTCGGTACGCTGAGAGAAGAGGAAACAAAACGTAACAGGGAGAAGAAAGAAAACAGACAGCAAAATATCTTTCAATAAAATGTTCAACTTATCAAAGGCTGAAATCACGAGAAATACAGTAAATATAACAGATTCAAACTGGAGTGAACTTTAGATCTCACAGACGTCTTACTCTATCAGGTTCAGCTGTAAGTGGTTAAGAACCACGTCTTTAGATCCAAAGAAATTCTGACTTACGTGTACATCTTGTACAAAGGGGAATACAAGTAAAGTTAAAGGTGTGGCAGACTCGTTTATCGCTATATTTCCACTGTTCTCTAGGAATGAATGCCTTGCAAGTTATACTCTGGGTAAGAAAAACACTGGTGCACCATTTTCAGGAATTAGACGTGAGCCACATCATAGACATGAATACGTAGATGCCTCATTGGGTGCTGGGGAGCGTAACAGCATCACCGCCATATTGGGTGGGTTCCTCACTCTTCAAACCCAACTGGAGTCAATGCAGGGTGGGAAACAATTTTATTTAATTTTTATCTTATTGTATTTATACTTCAACTATCACCGTACTATACCGTATGTGTCACGTTCTGTTCCCCCAGCTTCAGGCCCTGTCCACACGTAGCCGGGGATCTGCCAAAACGTAGATATTTTTCTACGTTTTGGCCTGTCATCCACACGAAAACGGAGTTTTTTCACACGAAAACGGATCTTTTTAAAAACTCCGCCCAAAGTGAAGATCTGCGTTTTCTCCGTTTTGGGTGTCTGCGTGTGGACACACAAAACCGGAGTTTTAAGGTCCGCAACGTCACTTTCTGCCACAAAAAAATGCTGACATCACGTGTGCGACCTGTGTTTACACTAGCCGACAGCATGGATGCCCTCAGAGCTGCGCTCGCTTTATCAATTGTCCAAGCGCTTTTTGCTTGTTTGTTTTTGCAAGAGGAATTACTGCTCCTTGCGGAAGACCACAGACGAAGGACGAGGTTAAGAACGGGGGAAGTACTGCCGTCTACAGGTCTGGCATGTCCTTAACAACGTATTTATCCGGGTACGTGTGGACAGAGTTTTTTTTAAAACGAGGTGGTGTGGATGCAAGTTTTTGGAGGGGCGGATATTCGTTTTTTAAAAAAAACCGGCTACGTGTGGACTAGGCCTCAGTTTAGTGTCCTGTTTGTGGTAATTGGTCCCACCTGCCTCTCGTTTCCCGGATCACTTGTGTCCTCTTGTATTTAAGCCCTGCTTTAGTCTCTTGCTTGTTGTTGGATCGTCTGTTAATTTCCTTGGTTCACCCCGTTGGTGTTGACTCTTCAAATAAAGACTCCTAAAAACCTTCTACGAATGGCTCTGTGCACACTCACCTGCACTTTGGATCCTCACTCACCTCAGCCACGACAACATGATTGATTTTGTGAAAAAGCATGATAAAATGGGTTTTTTGGTGGGGTAAACACCTTCCTCAATAGAAATAAATGCACTGGGGGCGAATGAAGATCCATTCAAGACAGCTGCCGGCCACTACGAAAACTTCAATAGGCAGTGCCAGTCCACGTCTACATATACGATGTATGTGCGCCACATCTCAGCCGAGCTAGCTAGAGAGCGACAACAGTATTTGGACTCTTATTTCCTGATATGTTGACATCTCACCTCGGATTAGATAACAGCAACTCAACTCTACCTGCCTTGCAATGTCAATGTTTTTTCTCCACAATCAACATGGAGAAGTTTTACTGTGTGGTAGAGTTGCTAATGCTAACAGTTACCTTCTACCAGTCGAGGTGTCCCGTGCCGTTTCTTGGACGCTAAAACAACAAAAGCCTTCCCTGTTGCAAGATGGGTGAGTCCATCAGTGTTAAGTGACAGTGTGATGTAGATCTGTCAGGTTTCTCAAATCCTAGATTTTTATCGTCTATTTACTATCAGAAGATAGGTGTAGGAGACTATTTTCATATTCAGCCTGCATGAAATACTCAGAGTGACCAAATCTGATTAGGAATAATCATTAAAAAAGGTCTTTTCAGCGAGCCACGTTAAGATGTGCAAAGCTGCCTTATTCATTATCCTTATTTTGCAGAAATCAAAACTCTAAAATAGCACCTAGCATGGTTGGTGTTATTTTATTTGCATGTTGCAGTTAGCTGCAGTCCCTTTAATACCACATGAAAATGTCTGAAAGGTTCATAAACATCTTTGGTATGTTCTTACTGTGTCTAGTTTCTAATTCCATTTTTGGTTCTTTTTAAAACACGGGAAAGGTTCCTCTTTACCCTGCTGACAGTTTCGTTTGCCGGTATGATTTTAAACACCATTCCTTACTTTCAATGATGTCACCCAGTCCCTGGGCATACAGGAGGTCTTTCAGTCGAGACACTTCCTCTTTCAGCTCCCGCACCAGTCGGTTGTTGGGATCCTCATTGATCACAGCGTTACAGCGAATCTGTTTGGCACGGTCAGCGTACCTGGGGACGCGAGAAACAAAATAACACACAGTGGAGAGGAACGTTTCCCCAGAGACCCACAATACTGCAGCTTGCTGTTGCAGCTCACAGGGTGACACTTGTGCAAACCACTAAGGGCAATGTGTGTTGTGCAAGAGTTAGCTTCACTGGAATCAGAAGATCCTTTAGTGCGACGTCTGTCACCTGAGTGTGCTGAGAGTCTCGTCGTAGTTGATATCAGCTGGACTCAGTGCAGCAACCATTGCGGTCCGAGAATTCCCACCTGGACAGTTTTAAACGTTTGTATTCGGTTAGTGGATAGATAACAGGTCAATCACTGCACCAACACAGATGTCATACCCAAATTTTCTCTTAGTAGCCAAGTTAAAACCGAATCTCTATACGGAATGAAGCTTTCCACCTTCTTCTTCTTTTTATTCTGTGTGTTAAAAACAAAAAACAATCCATTTCGTCCGTTTTCCACCAGGGTATGAGTAAAAGTGAAAACCAAAGCTAATGGATTACCTTATTTTGACCTGAATCCTAAAATAAAAAAATGGTAGAAAGATCACATTTATTCTACTTCAAATCCCCTTCATCTCAGAATATACCATATATATATATATATATATATATATATATATATATATATACACACACACAAAAATAATACCCACAACTTCTGCCAAAGCAGAGATGACCTTCCCCAACGTGGTCAGAGATTTGTTGATGTTTGCTCCTTCCTGTAAAACACACAGCATGACGTTGCAGAAAACACAAATAAGCTGCTTAATAATGAATATTAAAACAAGTCTATGATTTCAGATTGGCTCTATGAGTCATTTCACCTTGAGCCTGGTTCCTTTGGCTCCAGTAGAGTCCGCCCTCTCGCTGCCAGCCAGATCCACCAAGCTAATTTTACTGACCTGCAGGAACACCCCGAAAACCCTCCACTTAATACAATTCTGTTCAAACATACTTGACTCTTAATCAAGTTAAACACAAACTAACATAAAAAGCTATAAAACAGAACATTCCAGCAACATGGATTTATCTAGATAACCTTCAAGCGGTCCTAGATTTCCACTCAAGACCAAGATCAGCCGGTTCAGATAAGCAGAAGCAGCGGCTAAATGAATCGTTTCAGTGAAGCTGTGATAAACATCAGCTACCTTTTCAGAGGTGTTGTCAGTCTCTGCGTCGTAACGTTTCTGAGTGAATATGATGTTAAAGACGGCGTGAGAGCGGCTACTGGTCTCGTTCATGTTGGTGGCGGCCACGGTCCTGCACACAGAGAGCAGAGTTCAGTCGGTCTGTGGGTTTTGAGCGAGGATAAACTACATGATCATGGAACACATGAAGTTAAAGTCCCTTTAGTTGTCAGACTGGTGTGTGAAATTCTCCACATTTGACCCATGCCCTGAGGGAGTGGTGAGCTGCAGACATGGCCTCGCTCGGGAAACATTTGGTGGTTCAACCCCCGAATCCAACGCCTTAATGCTGAGTCTCTCTTTTATCTGTTTTACTTCATATGATATACACGACTATTTTAGCTTGTGTTTTTTATTATTTGTTTTTATGTGCAGCGCTTTGGTCGGTTGTAATGCCGTGTTAAAAGCGCTCTACAAATAAAGTGGTATGGTATGGTAATATCCTTCAAGGAGGCATTGAGTCTCATTTCTTTGTCTTTGGTATGACCCGACTGTGGATTTGAACCCACAATCTCCAAGTATCAGAGAAAACACTCATACCACTAGACCACTGAGCCAGTCAGAATTTGTTTTAAACAAAGAGATGCACCGATTCAGGTTTTGAGGGCTGATACCGATTTTAGTCCTGCACAGCTCTGATCAACAACTTTGGTCGATTCCAGTCAGAGCCGTGTCCAGGACTTTTAAAATGGGGTGGCCCATATGGGGCACTTGTTCATGCATGGGTGGCACCAATGGTTATGCTTATTTATGTATTTACACAAATCGTTTATTTATTTTTTTACTTTATTTTAAATTTTTGAGTTTCACATTGCAAAATCACCATTTTTTTCTCTTCACCTTCTAGTTTTGTGGTGGTTAGCAAGTCACTTCTTGATGCATTACTGCCACCATCTGGAGTTGAGTGGGACCCTAAATACTATTTATGTGAATATGAAAAATAAATAATAATACTACAGAAATGTTCTGTCGGCCTGGGCTAGAAAACAGTGTGAAAGGTGCATGCAACCACACACCATTTTGGAGTTTACAACCCAAGCCTTTTGTCGACAATGTAAAGTCAATTTGAACTGGAACTTAGTGGGGTGGCCAATCAAAATCTAAGGGTGGCGTGTGCTACCCCAGGCCACTCCCTGGACACGTCCCTGATTCCAGTTTAACTAAAGAACCACAATTAACAAATTATTTTTAAGACATGGTAAATTTAGATTAAAAAAAGGGTTTGCCATAGTTGTTTTGGTAAAATGGTGCATCAAAGTAAAAAGTCTTTCAAAAACAAAATTTCTTTTACATCAAAGTGTTTAATATTTTCATCTCCAGATGGTTTTTGAATGCCTCTCAAGGTTTTTTGAGTGTTTTTGTGCTATTGGGTTTTTAAATGATTTTCATATTCCTGGATTTTGTGAACTAAGATAAAATCTCCACTTTTGGACATTGGAAGTGAGAAACTACACATGGGGATGTCAGGTTCTAGAGCTGAGGTAGACAATATTCTGACATCAAAAGCTACCCATGATGTTTTAGGCAAGACAAACGCCCGTAAATACTGTTTACAGAAAGGTTTTCTGATTTTTCAATAAACAGGATTTAATATTTCAAATGTTTAATAAAATCTGAGATGTAAAAATGCCAAACTGCAGGAGGTATAAGGACACATCACAGCAACATTAAACACAAAGTGATGTCATCTATTTATTTGTCGAGCTTCAGCTGAAAGTCTGCTGACAGCATTCTGGTTCATTACTTCTGCTAAACTACATTATTCAAAGAGGTATTATTTTTACTGCATTATGCAAATGCTTGCAGCCCCTGCTAGCAGCTCCACGGCACAATTCCTCTGATGAACAGCTTTAATAATTCTTGTTTTTTCCTTTGAGAGAACATTTTTTTTTCTAATTTGTAATTTAATTTTATTTTTTATTTTTTTTAGATTAAAAGCCATCTGGTTATAGGAGCAGCAATAATGTGGAGACAACATGGCTACGGTAAGAAAAGGCTGCATGCTGCAATAATAAAAGGGCAGCAGTAGCTCAACAGGTTGAGCGGGTTGTCCAGTAATCGGAAGGTTGCAGGTTTGATCCCGGCTGCAGACAGAGAACTCTGCTGTTGTGTCCTTGGGCAAGACACTTAACCCACCTTGCCTGCTGGTGGTGGTCGGAGGGACCGGTGGCGCCTGTGCTCGGCAGCCTCACCTCTGTCAGTGCGCCCCAGGGCAGCTGTGGCTACATTGTAGCTCATCACCATCAGTGTGTGAATGTGTGTGTGAATGGATGAATGATACACTGTAGTGTAAAGTGCTTTGGAGTCCTTACTCTGAGAGGCGCTATACAAGTGCGGGTCATTTATCATTATTACAACATCAAAATACAGATTTCTGGGTTTGTTTTTGTTGTCTCCCACAATCTCACACACACACACACACACACACACACACACACACACACACACACACACACACACACACACACACACACACACACACACACACACACACACACACACACACACACACACACACACACACACACACACACACACACACACACACACACACACACACAAAACACAACATAGCCCTCACACACAACCGACTGAAATACAGATTTTGTTCACGTGAACAACATGAATTTTTTCGTTAATTTTTACCATTTTTCTGAGACCAGGCCTAAAATTAAGGCAGATAGATTGGGGATTCAGACTGCACAAGCTAAAATTTAAAATAGAACGTGAATGTAATCAGCCCATTTCATATTTTGACATTTTATTGCTTCATTTAAATTTATCTCCAAACTTTCAAAGGCTATCTTTAAAGAGCGGGTCAATTGAGCCTCGGAGTCCTTCTCCACCCACGTATCAATTTAAAAAAATGCAACATTAGTAGGCGTTGCCTGGAGGACCGAGAGGGCGGAGCCGCGGCAGTGACGAAGACGATGGCTAACTAGACGAAGCTAGCTCCCTTCACTCTTGAGCAGTTATTAGAAGTAGAGGACGTTTCTCCCCCCTCCTTACACAGACACTCGAGAAGAAAGGGACCAAGTCTATTTGGAGGAGACAAGCGGACCTGAGTCTTATTGTTTTGAGCTTGTGAGTTGCCTGAAACTCCCAGAACCGACCCAACAGAATCACCTCTGAAAGGTAAGTAGCCGTTAGCCATAGCATTGGATTAGCTGCAGGGTTTGTATCCACGGCCCTAAAAAGCTAGTATTCAGCATGTTTTAGAGGTTTATCTGCTTCAGCACACCTGGTTTTAATCAGCAACAAATAGCTGAGCTGCTTAACAGCTAATCTAACCTGTTAAAGCAGGAAAATCCACTGAAACATGCTGGATAGCAGCTCTCCGGTAGCTCTGGGCTCAAGTTACAGTCTGCTGCATAAAGTTATGAAAATACCCCATGAGAAAATTATTCTGTAATGTGTTCAGCCCACTAAAACTGCCCTGATTTCTTTATTTATTTACTAATAACAGCTGCTCTCTCGGTTCTAGGTCCTCTGGTGTCTGCAGGTGGTCTGGTGTCTGCAGCTGGTCTCTGCTGGTGTCTTCAGGATCAGGAGCTTCCAGAAGAATGTGCCTTTCAATGACTCTTTCCCCCTTATTTGTTATATTAATTAAATAAATCTCAATTTATATATTTCCTGTTTTTGTTCATGTCCATAAATACTTAAACATGCTTGAAATTAAAACAAGCTTTTAACAGTGAGGTGCTAGTTTAATTAATCACAATAGCTAGTTAAACATGCAACAAAAATGTGATAATCAATGTAATTTATAAATATCCATTAAAATATCAAAACTGGAATCTAAATGAGATATTTGGCAGCACAAAAAACTTGTCAAACACAATATTTATTATAATAATTGTAGGCAGACAGGAGACAGAGCTGATGGAGGTTCTCAGTCATCGAAGGATGGCTGAAGGCTTTCCAGGAACAGGAGATGTGGTGTTGTCTCTTCTCTCTCTATTCAGCAGGATGAGCTGATAGGTTACAGGTGTGTGAGGACATCCTCATGCTGTCATAACCAGATGACAGGAGTTATCAGGTGATCAGCCAGGCTAATGAGATGCAGAAAGAAAACAAATTCAGGACAGTGTACAATATGTGGTGTTGCTCACCTTATGTGCTCTTATAGAGTATTAATGTGTGCATGCCTCATGGTGTAGAGTCCATATTTTGCTGAGTGTCCTGCAATAATGCAGGTTATTAGTTAATTTACTTTTGATAACAAAAACAAAATATTTAATGTAAAAGTTATTTTCCAGGTGAATCAGCTCACACGTCACCACCAAGTATCACAGGGCCAGAATCAGTAGCCTCCGTCATGATGTAATCACATACTTATTTAATTGTTAATATCTTAAAAATTCTGAAATGTTTTAATTTTTTTTTTACCTTGAACAGTTCACTGAGCTTGCACTGTCACTGAGGTGGAAGCTGGAATCAACAGCAGACACCTTACATCTTGGTCTTTTCAGGGGGTCTGGACGCTCTGGGACTTTCTGGAAGATGAATTTTCATCATGGTCCCTGTGGGTCACCAGACACACTGCGGCTGTGAACTCCATTCTGGCTGGCTATGTAAAAACAAAGAAGCAGCACATTTATAAATGTTTAAAAGAGCATAAAATCACGTGTAACAATAATCTGTAAAACAAATTAAAACTAGAAGGTGATAATAAAATGTTTACATAGAAGATTATTAAAAATAATTCACCTTTGCTACAGGGAAGGTTTCACATCAGCCTGGACAAGTGCATTCTTGCAGACTACTAAATCAGTCTGACAACCAGTGTCTTGGGTAGATTTAGCCTGAAAAAAAAATAGAAGCACATTGTTGTTGGAGTTTATAAAGTCAGATAATATACAAAAGAATCTCCTATATAGGCGCTTTATAACATTCCTAGTGTGTGATCGTTGTTATAACGTAAAAGTCAGTCACACATGATGTGGAGAGCCTGAAATGCGACCTCCTGAACAGAATTCCTCACAGAACCGGGTCACAAGCTGGATTTCACGCTGTAATGCTGTCTGTCAACTAGTGCTGCGTCAGTTAGAGCCACTGTTGCAGAATTGCCGACTGACTAGCTAAAGGAAGTGAACCACGTCTCTCAGACTTTGCATTTAGGTAGGGAATTGTCTTTAGAAGATGTTAAAACGTTTATTTAGCTGACTCACCTCAGACTGGAGCCCGCCGTGGTGGGGGAGCAGAGTCGGTGGGCTGCATCTAAATCGCGGAAGAGCCACGGTGGGCAGCCTCCCTCTTCAAACGGAGACGTGCAGAATCGCGGGTAAAATGCCCACAGAGTCACCGCAAGCATACTACATTACACCATCTCACCAATACTAAGACGATATGAACACTAAACCCGAAATACTTTCCCAATTACACTAACAGCCAAACACTAACTAAACTACAATATCCAACAGCCAAGCTAACACTAAATAAGTATTTATAACACTAAAAGATATGCTAAGACTAGGATATGCTAATGCTATATGCTAATGCTGAACTACCGCTGACCTCCTACGCTCGCTTGCAAATCCAACTCCCACGCGCCACAGGGCGTGGCCGAGACGCCCGTTGCTTTTATAACTTTGGCACAGAGCTGCTACGTAGTACTCTACTGGTTTACTAGTACTTTACTCTTTAGCCATTGGCTAAAATTTATTCAAAATGACTCAAATTCTATGTTTTCAGCTGAAGGTGGCGCATTACTGTGGTTTTTAGACAGAATTTTTAATTTTTAAAGAAAATGCACCAAAATGCTAAAATAAAGAATGCACACATTTAAAACACTATTAGACACTCATTTATACAGTTCATCAGCAAAAAAAAGTTAATTTAGACGTTACTTGCTCTTTAAAGATATTTTCAGTCATTTTGAGTAAAAGTTGCAAAAAAAAAAAAAAATCTTACCTACTGTCGGTAGCTTTCTTAATGTTCTCCTCTTGGAGAAATACAGTTTATGTCCTTCAGGACTTATAAACCTTTATACCCCTCCATCCATTTTAACAGAACCATTTCAACATAGGTGTTTGGAAAGTCCTGCAGAACTCACCACTGGTTTCACCTAAAGCACCAAGTGTTGCTGCTGGTGAGAGTTACAAACCATAATCATGTCATATAAACACTCACTGGCTACTTTATTGGGTACACCTTGCTAGTACTGGGTTGGACCCCCCTTTGTCTTCAGAACTGCCTTAAAGGTATAGTGGAGGATCGTTTTCTTCCGGTTGGATCACCTGAACCAATGGTCTGCTTAACTGTCAATCATTCTGGTGAACCATCCGCACAAGGCAGTCGCTGTGCGTGCTCGTTGCCGGGTAGTTTTCACTTCCTGCGCAAAACGAAGGTTTAACTCCCCGCCAGCTTTCTGCTCGACAGGGTTCTGGTGCCACAAAGAGTATCGAGTACTGCTGCTGTAAACCCTGGAGATGGTTGTGAGTGACAATCCCAGAAGATCAGCAGTTTTACGTCACCGAGTGCGTTTACATGCCAGTAACCCTTTTAAAACCCGAATATTCACAATAACCCGGTTCCGCAGGTCCATGTAAACACCGCCAAAAACCTGGATATGCTCATAACCGGGTTTTTTAAAACCCAGTTACTACACCTGAGGTAACCCTTTTCTAACCCGAACGTTTGGTCGTGTAAACGCATATCGGGATATCCCCATCGCGTGTGATCCATCCTTCCTTCCTTCCTTCCTTCCTTCCTTCCTTCCTTCCTTCCTTCCTTCCTTCCTTCCTTCCTTCCTTCCTTCCTTCCTTCCTTCCTTCCTTCCTTCCTTCCTTCCTTCCTTCCTTCCTTCCTTCCTTCCTTCCTTCCTTCCTTCCTTCCTTCCTTCCTTCCTTCCTTCCTTCCTTCCTTCCTTCCTTCCTTCCTTCCTTCCTTCCTTCCTTCCTTCCTTCCTTCCTTCCTTCCTTCCTTCCTTCCTTCCTTCCTTCCTTCCTTCCTTCCTTCCTTCCTTCCTTCCTTCCTTCCTTCCTTCCTTCCTTCCTTCCTTCCTTCCTTCCTTCCTTCCTTCCTTCCTTCCTTCCTTCCTTCCTTCCTTCCTTCCTTCCTTCCTTCCTTCCTTCCTTCCTTCCTTCCTTCCTTCCTTCCTTCCTTCCTTCCTTCCTTCCTTCCTTCCTTCCTTCCTTCCTTCCTTCCTTCCTTCCTTCCTTCCTTCCTTCCTTCCTTCCTTCCTTCCTTCCTTCCTTCCTTCCTTCCTTCCTTCCTTCCTTCCTTCCTTCCTTCCTTCCTTCCTTCCTTCCTTCCTTCCTTCCTTCCTTCCTTCCTTCCTTCCTTCCTTCCTTCCTTCCTTCCTTCCTTCCTTCCTTCCTTCCTTCCTTCCTTCCTTCCTTCCTTCCTTCCTTCCTTCCTTCCTTCCTTCCTTCCTTCCTTCCTTCCTTCCTTCCTTCCTTCCTTCCTTCCTTCCTTCCTTCCTTCCTTCCTTCCTTCCTTCCTTCCTTCCTTCCTTCCTTCCTTCCTTCCTTCCTTCCTTCCTTCCTTCCTTCCTTCCTTCCTTCCTTCCTTCCTTCCTTCCTTCCTTCCTTCCTTCCTTCCTTCCTTCCTTCCTTCCTTCCTCAGGTTGAACAGGATGTTTGGCAGCACCCTAACGGTTTCTCTCTAGCTAACATTCTGAAGCCCCAACACACCACAGTGGCTCCATCACCTAGCCTTGTTGCCAGAGTCCATCAGGTCTTGAATGTCATTGTAGGAAGTCACAGCCAACTTAGACAAGTCCTCCACGTACGGCCCCATCAGCGGATGCTCTCTTACTCGCAGGTTCCCCTTGTTTTTAGGGTTCAACAAGTCTCGCACTCGTTCACAGTAGATCTCCATGTAGCTGACCTGATGAGACGCATGATCAGTTTGAACACTTTTATAAGGTGCATCAACTTGTGTAAACAGAGGGGGAGCATCCACGTTTACCTCCACAGAGTAAGACATGCTGTTGTTTGTATTATCGTTGATCTTGGTGAAAAGATCTTCACAAAGCTGGAAGGAAGATAAAATAGCATCAGTACCATAAAAGGTTAGGAGGAAAACTCCCCTTCATGTTTTTTCTGTATTTGTCTACCAGTGGGATGATCCCCTGCTGGTCCTTCACGTCCTGTTTCCCCATCATCGTGTAGGACTTGCCAGCACCTGTCTGACCATAGGCAAAGATGCAGACGTTGTAGCCTTCAAACGCATGGAGCAACATCTCCTCTCCGATGTCTTTGTACACTCGCATCTGAGAGGCATAATTGACATCCTCGGGCTGTGGACAGAGACCACACGTTTTGACCCTTTCCAACACATCGAACTAATGGTGCACTTAGATGAGAATGTGTGTTTAGGTTGAGCTGAAGGAGTGTTGAATGAGTTACCGATGTGTGTGACCAGTAGGAGAAATCAAAGTTGAAGCTCTTGTTGTCTTTGGCTTGCTTTGGGTTGATGATGGCTGAAAGACAGGAGGAGGGGGACAGTACAGAGGGAGGGGGTTGGTTATGGGAAACTAATTATGAGATGAGTACATTTCTGGGAAGTCATTCATTTGTTTCTGTTCCCATAGTTACCCTCAAAGTCTAAACCAGCCAAATCTCGTTGTCTTCGTCTTCCGTCCTCTCCCGGGCCACCTCAACCAGCTCCTCCGGCAGGACCCCAAGGCGTTCCCGGACCAGATTGGAGATGTAACCTCTCCAACGTGTCCTGGGTCGACCCGGGGGCCTCCTGCCGGCAGGACATGCTCGAAACACCTCCCCAGGGAGGCGTCCGGGAGGCATCCTGACCAGATGGCCAAACCACCTCAACTGGCTCCTGTCGATCCGGAGGAGCAGCGGTTCTACTCAGAGTCCGAGCTCCTCACCCTATCTCTAAGGCTGAGCCCGGCCACCCTACTGAGGAAGCTCATTTCGGCCGCTTGTATCCGCGATCTCGTTCTTTCGGTCATTACCCAAAGCTCATGACCATAGGTGAGGATTGGGACGTAGATCGACCGGTAAATCGAGATCCTGGCTTTCTGGCTCAGCTCCCTCTTCCCCACGACAGATCGGCTCAGCGTCCGCATCACTGCAGACGCCGAACCAATCCGCCTGTCGATCTCCCGATCCCTCCTACCCTCACTCGTGAACAAGACCCCGAGATACTTAAACTCCTCCACTTGAGGTAGGACCTCTCCCCCGACCCGGAGTTGGCAAGCCACCCTTTTCCGATTATTTTTTTTTTATTTGAGGATTTATTTAATGTCAGTATTCCACTTTGGAACAGTGCTCAGAACATATTCGTGTTTCTTTTAATCTATAACAGAAATTAATTGCTCACAACCTTTTCACGAAAGGCCTTTTCAAAAACTCTGAGCTAGATTTTCTAATAAAATTAAAGCAGTCTCATTATTCTTGCATTTGGCTTAATGAAGCCACGTTGTTCCTCACCAAGACTCATCTATCGTCGGACAGCTCAGACGGCTCGCCCCTCAACAGATTGCATAATTTTGTTCTCTTGTCTTTTGTTTGTAATCCAACAACTTATTGGCGCACTGTTTATGACTAAATTATGACCATGGCTTTGTTTTGATATATTTGGTCGGATGCTACCAAACCCCACAGATTTCTGACCTGACATTACAGTTCTGCATTCAAATGACACTGAAAGACATAAAGGTCAAACACGTTGTGCTTCTATGTCAACAATTAAAGGATTTACACCGTTTGCATTTAAATACTTATCCATGCTGGGTTGCCGTTTCTACCCAAGAGTGGTCCAGTTGCCCAGATGTTTAGCACACCTACATGAATATCACAGCGCCTGATGGCGTGTCCAACCACCAAAATAAAACAGACTGTGTAATTAAGAGTGGCAGTAATGCATTACTGTGACATGAGATTATCTTTACACATATCCGCTAAAAGCACAGCAGACAGCCATCATCGGTCAGCCATTATCGATCTATCGCCCCACTCAGGAAACTGATCCTGATTAAATGACTTTAAATGTGTAAATATTTGATTTTAAATAATGAGACAAGTTACCAAACAAAGTTAAATAAACACAAGATGAAGGTTGATTTGTGATCCAGAGTTGACCCTTTTCAGTGACACCCTCCTGGTCTTGGACCGTGCCGTGACCCTGCTAGAACGAGCCCCCAGCTGTTCTCGAGCAGGAAACAGAAGATAAGGTAATGACTTTAGTATGGTGATGAATCATGGCGTAAGTGAAGGTCACGGTGAGGCACGGAGCAAAACCCACTCAGCTGTTCACCTCGTACACAGACCGAAGGATGTTGTCTCCATCATTTCATAGTTTATCTTAATTTGATCCTTTTATACAGAATTTTATGTGTTTTAGTAGTATAATGTTAGGTTTAAAAAAAACTACATCTCATCTTTTAATGGACTGATAACTGCATTAAGTAGCATTATTGGTTACTGTGTAAAGATCTGAAATACATACATGTTTGTCAATAAAAGTCAGAAATGAATTTGCTCTCACATTTCTCCATCGGTTTCAGTGTGTGCTGTGTGAGGTACCGGCTTAGTTCAGAGTACCGGCCTGATCAAAGAGCAAGTCACCCCCCGTCAGAGTCTTACCCCGGCTTTCCACAGCAGCCGTCAGCAGCACGTCATAGCTGCTGATAGGAACCGCTGTGGTCAACAGAACCTTTTCCACTGGAGCCGTCAGCAGCGCGAGTCGGCCGCGTCTCAGGAGCAGCATGTCGCGGCCTTTACGCGCCGGGTCTATTTTCTACGCGCGACGCCTCTGAAACGGGTCAAGTTCGACATTTTTGGGGAAGGAAAGACAGGAAATCGGACGCGGAAATGGAGAGAAGCTCTCGAGATTTTCAGAATAAAGAACGTACTGCCTTCCGGTTGCTTTACTTTTAAAAAAGGTTACCAACTGTGCGTCCCCGTGAGAAGTTATCACCTAGCTAGCGGTCTCCTTTGTTTTTCAGGTCCGTGTTGGCGATTATAAAACGGACAGAACATAAAACACAAACTATGTTGTAGTTTTCTCCTGCTTGTTGTTGTGTTTACTGACGAAGTCACTCGTGTGACTTCGTGCTCTGTCGGTGACAGCAGCTCCCCTGCTGCTTCGCGTCTCGTGGGAAGGGCCAAGCAGCAGCTTACGCGAGCAAGACGTGCTGCTGCAGTAACGTGCTGCTGACGGCTCCCGTGGAAACCCGGGGTAACTCCACCCATACTTCCTGTTTTTAAAAGGCACCAAAAGGAGATGTTTCCTGGTGGACGGAGAGAGCATCGCTGGGGGAGTGACCGACAGCAAAAGAAGTTCTCTGCTTCTGTCGCTGCACCTTCTGTCATGACTCCCATCCTTCACCCTCCTCTGCCTCCTCATTTACTCTTCATTCAGCTCACCTGTCCCTTCGCCAAGCCCCGTTTTCCCTAGCAACCTCAGTCAGCATCACAATCAACTTCATTCATCTCACCTGTTCCTGTAATCAGCCTTCATCCACTTCACCTGCTTCTGACTCCTCAGCTCATCTCACACACCTGCTTCCCCTGCTATAAAAGAACCATCCACCTATCCAGTCTCTGCCACATTATTGAAAACATTTGCCAGTAAATTCTCCAGCCATCCACCCTGCCTGATCTCTGCCTCCGGACCTTGTTTTTCTCCTGACCCCTGCCTTGAACTGTCTTCTACCACGTCTCCAGCCTGCTCCCTGTACCTGCTTGTGCCGATCTGGTTTTGACTCACGCCTGCCCTCCGACTGTCTCCTGCCTCGCCCATCTGGTAACTCCACCAAAAATAAAAGACTTTTATTATATACTTCAACTGTGTTTGGCGTCATTACGGGTTTTCCGAGTTCAGCTCGTGACACCTTCTGCACCGTAACTGCTCAGTCTTTGTTTTCTTTTTAAGTCTAATTTCATTTGAGGCCTCTTTAAACAAAATTTTTAATTTACTGTTTGTTTTCACTGTTTTTCGTGCACCTAAAAAGCACATTGCCTCTGTGCATGAAATAATCTTGCCTTACCCACTGGAATTGCTTATTTTAAAGCAATATTTAGTATAGAAATTGTTTATTTCAAATTTCTTATTTTAAAATCTGGACACACATCGCTCAGCCTTTTGTAATCCACCTACATCGTACACAACAGGTAACCGCTGAAGACATCAATAATCAAGTCTTTTAACTATTATTTTACAGTAATAGAGTGTTAGACTCAGACACGGTAAATGTCTGCTGTGGTTTGCTTTCTGGATGTTCTATCTTCTTTGACGACACATGGCTCGTTTGTCGTAGCTTTTGCTTCAAGGTGGTTCTAACTGACTGAGTGATGGGGGTCAGACTGTCGCGGGTGACCTGTCCCAGTCAATAGATGAGGAAATGTGCCTGTGTCAGCAGGTCTGGCTGAGGGGGAGTGAACCCGGTGACAGCAACAGGAGGAGAGCCAAGCGGACAGCAACATCAGCAGCTGGAGCTCTTTTCTCTCACTTTATAAAACACAGAAATATGTGGAGATGCACTTCTGTGTGAGGGTGTTAAAAAGTCATTTTCTGCCAAACAAAATGTAAATCCACCCAATTTCCACAAAATGTTTACGTATATTCGTCATTTAGCAATTCAGTTTTGGGCAAAGATGCAATTTAAAAACCACATAATGCAGAGAGAACAATAACTGCAGTAAAAATACCTGATAAATGATGAATAAATATAACTTAATTTTAGTGTGAATCTGCTGCAACTGAATATGAATGTGGACCATCAGACTCTGAACTAAGTCTCTGCCGTGCAACTTAACAGCACAAAAAGTGTCAGCATGTTAGCATAAAAGTTAACAGACCTGCTGGCTTAAAAACCTACATTTACCAGCTTTTATTAAAACAAACACCTAAACATTAACATATGAAGCCCTGGTTGCCCAGTGATTTCTGATCCACAACAAATGAAGGTGGGTCTAATACGAAGAGCTGGCACCTTCTACTGCTTTGGGTTGGTCTCCTGCATCTTAATTAAGGTCGGTGTGGGAGCAAAGATCTCGCGCTACAAGATTGGTGCAGATTTCTCTCTTTGTGGGAACGGAGCCATTGACCCACATGAGTGTCAGCGAGCACAAAGCAGACAAAAGCATTCCAGAGCTACTTCTTCCCTTTCCTTTCTCAAGCCAAGACTACAGAAAGAGACAAGGAGGCATTTATACCCTGCTTCGGTCTTTATACCTCCTCCAGACGCCGCAGCCAACAAGCTTTTTAATGACATCAGTCTGCTCACATCCTCCAGCCCACATCCAGAGCTGCTGATTCTGTTTGGGAGAGAACAATCTGATCCGGAGAAAGACTGGCAGCCTCAATCAAAAGTGTCTGAACCATTAAAGCCCTTTTTTACTGCCGGCATTATGTAAATTCAGTGTTTCTTTTTATAATTGCTGTCAACATCAAACTTGATCCCATTCGTTTCACTTGTTATTCATTCTCAATGAAGTCTTCACTCTTATTTGCTTT